CCAATTTACACATATATGTGCGTGTGTCACATTTTAGGGCCTCAAAAAATTTCCTTTGGAACGCATCTCGACCTTTATAATGGAAGTACAGTACAGGGTATATGGAAAGAATGGTTTTGGGTTATGGAAGGATTTAAAAAAACGGAACCCTTCCATAACCTTGGGGAAGCCTGTATACAGTACAGTACAGTAGTATTCAGTATTACAATTTTTGTAATATTTGGTAAAATTTTGGATTATGAGAGACATTATGAATACAGTATATATGATGAAAATGTTGCCATGGGATGTGCCTGCCAACCATCCACCTCAGTGTAAACAAGTACTGTACAGTACTATACGCGTTATGCATATCGGTCACAGTCAATTCACATTGGTCAGTCATGGAATGTAAAATTGATGGTCTACTGCACAAACTTTTCCGATTTGTTTTTCCATCATAGCCCAGTGTTCGAGCCATTATGTCTGATAACCCCGGACCAAGCACCTAAATCTGATACTTTACTTAGAAATGTATAAATTTTGATTGGGGTGGATAACATAAAACAACTGTACAATTGTTTTTTATTTGTTTATTTCCCCTCGGGAGGTGTCCCTCATAATTCATAAGAGCTAGAGCCCCTATTATTTCGAATGATGGGGGTTTTATTGTATCACCATTTTCACAGGATGGTCATACAAAAGTGGCTATGATTTCTTTGTCATGTACCAAATTGGATCAGTTATGTCTGTTCTCCTTTTTAAATTGATATCCCATCAAGATTTGGGTTTTGTCAAGCTATTCAGTGATAACATCAAAGAGAAGACTGGTGCATGAAATTAAGCGTCAGTATTTTTTTAGTACTATACTCGATGTTGCACAGTTACATTAACTCTTTTGTATGGTATGTGTTAACATAGGGTTTTGGCTGAGGAATTTGTTAACATGAGGCACTTGTTAGAGGAATTTGTTAACATGAGGCTTTTGGCAGAAGAATTTGTTAACATTGGGCACTTTTTGGAGGAATTTGTTAACATAAGCACTTGGCAAAAGAATTTAACATGAGGCATTTGTAGAGGAATTTATGTGAGAAGTGAGGAATTGATTCTGAAATTAAATATTTTAGGTAAACCCATTGTGGTATTTCAGATACCCTCCCTCTTCCTTGGATTCATGGGTAATCAGCTGGAAACTTAATCCAAAAGGGTAAATTGGTTCAGGAATCAAGATTGTAACCCAAGGTTAGAGAAATGTGTTTACTGGTTAGTTTGACACAGCTTTCAGACCAGTGTTACTTTCAGTCAACCCTTTTGAGGGAAATTGTTGCAATTAAGAGAATTGGGGGATGGTAAAATCAGCCCCAAGCTACACCAGTACATGGTTAGCATGTAATAAGAGCTACCTGGCTTTGGGCTTAGTTACAAAGTTGGATTTCAGGGTCAGTCTCTCTGTTTTCCATAACTAAATGTGATTAATGTCCATTTTTTTTGCATTATTATTTGGCAGAAGAATTTAGATTTTGCCGAAGGAACACTAATGCAAAACTGTATAACACACTACTGTATACAGGAGATATGCATTGTTGCATATACCTTGTTTCATGCTGACCCATGCAGGTTTTATAGTTGTTAATGAAAGAGTGACCTGTCTGGCAATTCTGATCAGATTCTATATACGTAGTGTAAAAGATTTTTGTTAAAATGTAATAATTATTTTTCTATGGCTTTCTATGTGATCTTTCCTTTGTTTTAATAATGGGGTACAATATAGAAATCTGTTTTAGGCTTCTTCTCCCGAGGTACATGAAAATTGACTTGAACAATTCTTCTTTGAAGAACAGCATCAACATTGGAAAAGTAAAATTTTCAACATCGGTTAATGGACAGATTTCAGTTTCAATGGCTTGTTCACACATGTACAGTAATTTTATTTTTAGATAATACTGTGATATGAATTATTGCACTTTTAGTAGTTTCCAGAATAGTTTGTATTGTCTAATCTTCTGGGATATGTGTTCTATATTTGTTAATTTTCTTTTTGTCTTTACTTTTCTATTATGGTATCCTGCTGTTTTATTTATTTATTTATTCATCAATTTATTTATTTTATTTTGATGCTAGTGCAATAGTTGTTTTGAGGCTTTTTTTTCATATATTATCAGTTTTCTTGGTTGACTGACCTAATTTTACTCTTTTATACAATATGTTACATCATTAAATTGTACCACACACACACACCCATAAAGACTGTAGAATTCTTTTTAACTTGCTAAATGAGAATGTTAATTTTAATTTCTGGTTATTGGAATCCCTAACCAAGACACTGATACAGCATTTTAAGACAAATACTTAATGTCCTTCATGCCAACATAAATCCTTACTTTATACTCATTTTTATAATACAGCATTGTGTTCATTATTGGTAGACTGTGGTAATGACAAACAATGTGGCATAAGTTAAACACACAAGGTTTGTAATTTGTATTAATACTGTATCTGTATTACCTTAAGAGTTAGTGATATTCAGGATATACAGTATAAACTTCTTTTTTCAAATGTGCTGACAGTTCTTCGTTAAGTCGCATTTGCTTGGTGAACCCTATGGTAGTCCACTGTACAGTCTCTTGAGTTCATGTATTTTTACTTTCATCTTAGTTATTTCCCAACCTTTTATATTATATGTTTATTTCTTATGAGAAACAAATGGTGACTCTTTAAATTTCATGATGGCAAAATCAACCTGCAGAATAATTTTTAAAATATGTTTAAGTTTCCTTACCAATTCGGTGACACTTTTAAGTTTACAGACTTTGTTTAGAAACTTGGTAAATAATATATTTTATTGTGAATATGGAAATGCTGTTCGTATTGTAGGCAAATTACTGGAAGCATTAGTAATTTAAAATCAATTCGATATCACCTTGTGAAACACAAATTGATCAACTATTCCCAGCATGGCTTCACAAGTGGGTGGTCGTGTCTGACAAATCTATTATCATTCTTTTCAATTGTTTTCGAATCAGTGGATGATGGACACGATTATGATGTGGTTTACCTTGACTTTAGCAAAGCCTTCGACAGGGTTCCTCACAAAAGACTAATACGTAAAGTGGATGGAATTGGAGGAAATGTTCTAAACTGGATTAGGGCTTGGTTACAGGACAGGAAACAGTCAGTATTAATGGCATTAAATCCGATAGGGGTGACATCACTAGTGGAGTACCCCAAGGTTCAGTACTTGGACCAAATTTTTCGAATGGTCTGAAAAATGGCAGATGAAATACAATGTGTACAAATGTAAAGTACTTGGTCTAGGAGATGTAAACAGATTAGCCAGATACCAAATGAACAACAATGTTATAGAGAAATCAGACTGTGAGAAAGATTTAGGAGTAATGATAAGTAGGAATCTTAAACCAAGTAAACAATGTGTATTTGCTCGAAACAAGGCTAACAAAGTACTTGGGTTCATACAAAGGAGTGTTAGTTACAAGACTAGCGAGGTCATCCTAAAACCATATATTGCGCTTGTGAGACCTCACTTGGATTACGTAGTTCAATTCTGGTCACCGTACTACAGATTGGATATAGAATCCCTAGAAAGAATTCAGAGGAGAATGACAAGACTAATCCCGGGCATTAGGAACCTTGAGTACAGACACAGGTTAAAGCATCTTAATTTGCACTCCCTCGAGAGATGTAGAGTGAGGGGCAATATGATCGAGGCTTATAAATGGAAGTCAGGGCTAAACAAAGGTCACATTACAAAGGTACTCAAACTATCCAACCAGGAGTGAACTCGTGACAATGGTTTTAAATTAGACAAATTTAGATTTAAGCGCAACATAGGTAAACATTGGTTTGGAAATAGACTAGTGGATCAGTGGAACAAGTTACTAAACATCATCATTAACCCGAATACACTGGATAGCTTCAAACATAGGTTGGATGGATATATGAGCAATAGGGGTTGGGTGGAAATGGGATTGCCCAGTATGGGCCAATAGGCCTGCTGCAGTTTCCATCATTCTTATGTTCTAATGTTCAATATGTATGTAAGTAGGAAAAATAAGGATAAACAGATTGCATATGCTTATGTGGCCATATGGATGGCTGATGCTTATGTTTGAAAATAAGCATTAGGGAAGTGGAATTTTATGGTGATAAGTGAATAATGATGAATACACAAAAATTAATTATCTTGCAGAGCAGTATATTTGGTGGATGGCTCTTCACTCAGAAAGTAATATAATTTCTATGCATTATTTCAGTTGATATACAATCCATATGGGAGAATTCTCTGAAAATACACACACTGTGTAGTCACTGAATTGAATCAATGTACATTATAGATTTAATTTAATTTATTGAATTGTGCATGATACAGTATAGGGCAAATAGGAACTTCTAACTGTAAAATGGTAACACCAAAGCATCGTTCTTTCCTTATTTCATATTGTTCCTGATACTTTCATGAATACAGTACTAAAAAGAATCTATCTATATATATATATATATATATATATATATATATATATATATATATATATATATATATATATATATATATATATATATATATATATATATATATATATATATATATATATATATATATAGTATGATGTACAATATTTTCTGAATTAAAATAATTCATACTATTGTCTTTATTTTGCTAAACAAAATATATTTAATACAAACAAGTTACAGAAGGGGCATGTGATCCATTAAGATTCAGGTAACCACAAAGAAAAATGAAACCCCAAAATCTCAAAATATTTTGAGTTCTCACATTGTCAGTGGAACAGATACAGGTCATGCACATTGTATATGTTAGTTTTTTTGTGTCTCCTTGATAATGTCTATTATTCAGTATTAAGACTACTGTATAATGCCCTTTTCACAGTTTTATATTGCATGCATTGTTTAAGTATTTGGATTATGATTTATGTATAATAGGTATAATTACACTATCTAATTTTGAATTTTCCATTATTTCAATGCATTATGATATCCCACAGCAACAGCATGCAGACCAGATGAAATGCGGTGCGATGATGGCCAGTGTCTAGTACTTAGTCGACGATGTAATGGAATTGAAGAATGCACGCGAGGAGAAGATGAACGTGGCTGTCGTAAGTGATTATTAATTTATTCATTTATGTTCTCTCTAGTTTGATTCATTCTTTTTTAGAAGATAAATGAAATCTTCCTGTGGTGTATGTATCCACGACTTCTATAAATATCATACATTTCTTATGCTCCCCAGAAGGAAGGAGCATTTAATTGCTGCTTTATCCATCCATTCATTTATTTTTTTTTATCATCCTTTATTATGTCTACTTTATAACTTTTGAACTAGTGACGGCATTTTCATTTTGATCTATGGAGAGGATAAAGCCAACAAGACATTGTATTGCAAACGTTGCAAATAAGTCTAATGTCCCTATTATGAAGGTCAACATATTACACTTTGGGGTCACAGGTATTAATCTCAGTCTTTATTTTCGGTGAGCATCCATTGATTTTACCAATTTATCATAGTTCGAATAGCAGGCTATATTTGATAATGAAATCTGAAAAGAACAAATTTTGTTTGTCGTGTTTTAAACTTTAGGTTACCAATACCATAACAAATATCCCCATGGTAGTGTCACATCAATTAGAGGGAAAGTTTGATAGAGAATAAAGATTCCTTGTTTCCTCTTGATTCTGTTCTCCCTGTCAAGATCCTGATGAGTTACTCCCTGTTTCTCGTTTTAGTACTTTATATTGTTTTTAAGCTTTATTTTATCTTGTTAATATACTGTTATCCTTGGAGATAGTTCCTATTTCTGTACTATATCTGGAGAACAGTTTGAAACACTTAAACAAAGCTTTGGTAAAGTTCCCCCAAAAAAGTATTTCTAACCAGGGGGGTCGATGTGATTCGAGACTTTCCGAGCAATGTTACTCTACATGTTTCTGAATGGTTGGTAGTTCTACGTCTGCAACCTTTGAGCATGAAAGCATGTACCTGTATACGTTTTTGAACGCTGTGCATCCTCCGAGGCTTCAGATCGTAAATATTACATGACGCGAAGTGGAAGCCATAAATGTATACCAACTCCATGTCAGTCATCAACGGGACCTTACATCAAATGGAGCGAGGAATTATCAGGGAGACATCACAAGATGTGAGACATGGTATCATTGCCCTTCACAACTGCTTCCACGATGAAGCTAACAACCACAAATATCTTACTATAGGTGGACAAGGGGGTTCTGTGTCCTGCAAGCTCCTTGATTTGAAACCTTATTACGGTGTCAAATTAGTGCAATTTACATATCAATAACATGGTAAATTCCATGTCGACCAATACAGTATATTGTATATTGCAGTAGCTGTTGACTCCAATATAAAGTATAATTTGCTTAATCACTTCATAAATCACACATATCGTGAACAACACGAGTTGGTATATTGTGAAATTCAATACGAATGAGACTCTGTTAGTACAATGACATATTGGTGAAATGTCTGTTTTGAGGTCTGTCTCAGTCTCGGTTATGATGTCCCACACCACTTCCATTTAATGTATATTTTAGTGTTATTGTAATCAGTCAGTGGCTTGTTTACAAATGCCTTGCCTCTACCATACATGATACATACATTAATATAGGCTTTGGGATTTCTTGTTATACTGAAGTATTTAGTATGCCATACAAGGACGACCTCCTGCCCCAGTCCTGCCCACAGCTTTAGCTGTTGCTGATATGGCGAGCAGGCGTACAAACTTATGATGATGCACTGAGGATCATATCAAAGCATTTCATTTAGTGTTCCAATTGTAGTGACAGAAAATATAACGATACTCTTTTTGGGAACTGTACATGTGCTTCATTTGTAGACAGGATGAACTCTAATGAGTTCTAAAACAAATGGTCATAGGTCAAGGTCATTGTAAGATTTTATTGGAAAATGGTTTCCATAGAAGTTGAATTATATATCATTTACATTTCCCAGAAATGATAGATGGGCTCTCCTTGGGATTAAAAAGAACCCTGTTGCTTTTGGGGTAAAAATTGCAAAGGTCAAGGTCATTGTAAGTCCTCATTGGAAAATAGTTTGTGCAGCATAATTTACTGCATGTGCAATAAGTCTTTTATTTACTTACTCATATTTTCATTATTTTATTGAAATGTCACCGACACATTAGGGAACAAAAATTTATTTAAAAGGCATTGATTCATGACAACATTGTCTTTAAAATAGAAGAAAAGAAAGAAAATTACTTTGGATATTGTTCAAAATGACAAGTCAGCACCTATCACTACTGTGTACTGTACTGTATTGTAGAATCACATTAAACATCAACTCAATATTCATTAAGATCCAATTGTATCTTATGCCTACATGAAAATTTCTCACCTTAACAATCCAGCAAATTTTAAATGCAAAACAAGTATCAAGTGGTGCATCAAAAAATTATTTGAAAACCATTAGAGGTAAAAATAGATTACCAGGTAACCAATGCAATTTGATGACTCCGAATGATGCCATATATTTCCAATATAATCCTCATGACTGCAGGTGCCCCACAGGTGCTTATTATAACACTAGATGTCTCACAATTGCTTATAATAAAGCTGGGTATTTCACAGGTGTTTTTGGATTATTTCTCATTTGTTTGCAATTGAAGAAATGGAAGAAAATATAGGGTTTTCAGTGGGAGTAAGTAGGTTGTCTTTGGAGTGGGATGTCCATTTGCCTGTAAATTTTGAGTTACTTTCTCAACTAAAGTAGCTTTTTCCTACTGGAGCCTGCACCAAGGCCCACTATCCCAGGTATCGTGTTCTCAGAGGGCATATTAGGGGCACATTTCTAATTTTATATATTTGCCACATTGAGTCGCCATGATTAATTTGTTGATGTACTCTTGCAATGTGAAATGGACATTAACCCTTTAACTCCGGGGGATTATTACCCATATCCTGATATACAGCCAGGGGATGTAGGTATATTAGTCCAGGCAGTGATATGTAACCCCACAAAATTTTTTAAGTTGGGAGAGTTTGAACTGGATTATTGTTTATTGACCCGAAGAATGAAAAAAAGGGAGGTAGACTTTCTGCAACTTGTCCCTTCTCCCACTAGGGACCAAATCCAAGAAAATCGTCATCGGTGATAGGTGAAAACTAAAAGTGCCGTAACTTTTGAACTAGACATTATAGATTATTAATAGTACAGTGATATCCCCGTTAGCCGGGACAATTGGTGCAGAGCACTTCCGGGGTTGAAAGATTTCCGGCTAACCAGACGATTTTCTCAAACCCGGAAAAATTACTTATCCCCAGAATATTCACCCCCTCCCCCCCCCCAAAAAAAAATTTGGTTAACTATAAAAGTTAAAAATATACCACCGTACAAAATAGGACTAATGTTTATTTAGAAATTGTTAAACAATTCCTTGGACTCACATCGGACATCCAAGCTTTTCAATAACTTGAGAATAAAAGGATATGTTGTATCAATGGCGACTTCTCCCTCCGTCCCACGATGTAGTAACCTAGCAAAAAAATGAATAAATAAATAAAAAATCGTGATGAGAGAAACCATTTATTATGATGGGAAATAAAATAAAACAAGGTATCAAGATGAAGTTATTTACTCTACTGTAGCATTTTAAAATTTGTAACGGAGACTGAAACTTGATGGAGCTTGTTTTATGAGGAATGAGGATTTGAGTCATGACTTCCCAAACACAGTTGTCTGCAGACGGCTGTATTTTTTCAGTAACCATATAGAGCAGGTTCATGGGCATGGGACATCAACATAGTGAGAGCAAAAACAAACAAATTCAGTGAGCACCTTGTTCACGTGTTGGCAAGCCTGCTGAATTTAAAAATTTTACCCTGGTCCACGGAAATATCCACTAACCCGTAATTGTTTTAAAAATGTGTGGGAATGTCTTTTAAAAAGTCTTAATGGCAGAAACAGTGGCTCACAAAATAGATACTGTACATCTGGTGGTGATGGAGTGGAGCAGGTGTGTGTGTGTGTGTGTGTGTGTGTGTGTGTGTGTGTGTGTGTGTGTGTGTGTGTGTGTGTGTGTGTGTGTGTGTGTGTGAATACGCACAACATATGGATGATGCAATATGCACTTGTCTACTGCTCTCTTTCTGGGATGATTACCATCACCATTTTTTTAATTATCTTATGTAAAACCTTACCGCTTTTCTGCGGCTCAGTGTGTGTCGAACTTAAACCCTGGGCTGACATTTTTTTTTTTAATAATCTACATTTATTCATTGTTAGTGTGCAGTAATAATTACTGTACTATAATATACTACATATTCACTCATCATCTTTTCCTATATTAGTGGCGCCTCGTTAAGTCAGCTGACGAGTATTAATCAATATTCATGCAGATTGAACTGTACAATATAAAACCCTTCAAAATTGTAGGATCTACTTACAAGATCTTTTTCACATGAGGCAAAATTATCACTCGCCTGACGGACTCATGGTTTTTTAAAAGACGATTCGTTGTAAGGAATTTTCACTTGCCCCGGGCAAGTATGATTGGGTTAACCCTGGTTGGTGACACACTCCTACCCAGTACACATGGAGAAACACTTCTACTAATTGGACTAAGGGTAAACACTTTGCAGTACAAAACTATCATTTCAGTGAAAATAGTTATTGACAATCAGACTTGTGTCTGATTTTTTGGAAACATTCTAGATAAGCAGGGTTATTTCTTGACACCCATAGATTTGCTTTTTCAAACTGGGGTCTGCCTCAATTTGTCCGATTTATCGTATTTCTACTGTATGTTTTTAAAGATCTCTTTAGAACTTTCTTCTTCTTGCTAAGGCAGTTGTAGACTATTTGTCCTACTGTTTCAGAAGCCTCTCTTGAAATTTATGCGAATGATAAACAAGTACAACAATTAATGATTCATTGGTGTGTCATTGAATGAAAGTAGCCACCTGGATATGCCAGTTTGGCTGTCATGTTGAACATCACTAATTAGCCTTCTCATGGAAATCATCATACAAAAGAATCACTGTACTGTGATGATGTTATAAATGTGATAAAGGCTTTCTCCATTCCACTGCTCAGATAATGCAGCTCTTAATCCACCATGTAATCATTTAACTACCGTATATGTATTCTCTCGTATTTAAAACCGTTATATTTAGTTTATGATTTCTGTTTTATTTGTAATGGGTAGGACCGTGAAGAATCATCAGTATTGGAAATACGACTACAGTACAGTATATAGCAAACTTTAATGTTTAAAACAGGTCCTTTTGAGTTCCAGTGCAAGAGTGGGCTGTACATTGATCAACAATACAGATGCAACGGTATTGTTGAATGCCCCTTTGATCGGTCTGATGAAGAGGGATGCAGTGAGTGAAAAAAATTTACACTGTAAAATGCTCATGTTGCTGTTGAATGTTTTGTAATAATTTTTAAGGTGTTTAAGTGTTGTTTGAGCAAAGTTTATTGATGTGTAGAAAGTTGGGCAACTCTATCAATAAAATATGTTAGTGTCTTCTGTGAGATTGCATTACTGGTTTTGTGTCTTTTGTCTACTAGTGATTATTGTTACCTTTTAATTTAATTTTTGCTTCTCTGTTATTCATTCTCAGATAATTTATCAAGATTCACTCAAAAGATTTACGTCAAATATGAAACCGATAGGTTTTGGTATGTGTTACAATTTTGTGATGATGTAACTCACTGGTGGCCTTTTTTTATATCGTATGAGGTTATTTTTATGCTAGACATTACTTTCTCTATACATTAGGCAACTAATGTCCTGGCAATCTGTGTTGGTTGCATTGCATTTATTGGGTTGAATCCACAACTTTTGATTTTTCTAAAGAAATTCTCTGTTAGCAGGTTTTGCTATTATTGGTTTATATCCACATGTGCTACAAGATCATGTGGTTTATTGTATTGTTTGGGGAGGGGTGATGGATGTCACAGTCTGGTGTAAATTTTGAAAGTTAATAAAATGCTCCAGTTATTGGATGTTGAGAGCCCTACTGACTTACTTTGCTCTATTCATATGAATATCACAAAAAAGGGTCTGTAGTTCATGTGATCAACTTCGCTAATTTAACAGAGACGGTTTTCCTAAAAACCTTACTGAGCTATTGCTTTGAAAGATGTGCGTTTGGTTGTAACTCACACCTATTGTATAATGAACCCCTCTTCTACATTCTTTCAACAAAGTGCATGTCCCGAGAATGTGAGCTCTGAAAAGGGGCTACTCATTAGTTGCACCGTGTATTTGCCACATTGCCTGCTGGTGCAGGCAATATCTTATGCAATTTTTGAGCAAGGAAGCTGAAAAAAATAAATAAAAAAATATACAGTGTGTGTGTGTGTATATATATATATAACAAATGTTAACAACACTGACCAAGCTGCCTCAGGCCTGCCAGCTGTTCCCAGGTGCCTGCCTCATTTAAAACTTTACAGAACATTCGTGTTAACATTTACAAAATCCAGGTGCATTACATGATTACTGTACAGTACTGTATACCTCAACTGCATTTTTAAACAATTTAACAACAAATATTACAAGTAACTCCCCTAGTAACATTTGTTTGTAATTAACCATAGTTAACACCAAAAGCTATTTTAATGTTTTGAAAGGTGTCGGTATAACTAATGTAAATACTGACCTTAGGCCGAGTTCAGTAACAATTACCCTTCTGGAAAAATGCTACAGTAAGGTAAAACTTATTTGGAAGTGCTGGAAATTAAGTGACTGAGATCTACCAGTAAGGTAAAGTGAAAATCTGATTCTAATGGTGGAGTGTCCTTAGAGGTTGATATTTTATACATGTCATATAAGACGAACCCTAGTTTTGAACAAAAAAATTGGAGCTTCAAAGGTCGACTTATAGGCCGCAATTTTCGATAATACTGTATATAAATATTTCTGTGATTACATATACAGTGTTTTCTCCTACTAGTATAGAAAACATTGCAACATAAAGGTTTTACTCCTCCTTAAATTACCAGTACAGTACTTAATATTCACAAGTACCATTGAGAAGCAGAACACTAATGTCAGCCATTTGGGCATAATTACTATATAACTTAAGAAAAAAAGAACTCCAAAAAATATTTAAGAGATACCAACCCTGACCGTATCTGTGTATATAGGAGACACACTACAGTTACTGAACAGTTACCTCATTAATTTTGGCTTATTGATGAATAAAAGGGTTTTGGAGGCAGGAACTAAATGAAATTTACTATTGTTCTGAATTTATTACCATATGTCGTATCTTGAATGTACAGTTTCACCTCATGTGCTTTGATGCTATTTATTATGTGCAGTGTGGAAGAAAGATCTCCTTGCCCCGATGTAGACTAACATAAGGTTGCTTAGTGATTAATGCATTAGTGGAAAATTTTTGGACTGGTGTACAGTAATTTATATGCGTATTGTCTTGGCACCTTGGAAGTCTTGGGTTCGAGTCCTAAGTGATTCAAACAATCTTGTGCTTCTCGCCTGATCGCACATGCATTCTTGAATTGTAAATTTATTATTTTGAACTGGGAAAAAGCATTTAATTTCTATAATGAATGATAGAGTTCACCAATAAATTTGTCCCTAATTTATAACAAATACAGTATACTTGTAGTTGATTGCTTCCATAAAAGTAATGACCGTAAGTATTGTGTAATATCTTTACAAATAACATTGAGATTTTTCAGTCATATACCGTATCTTATTCTGCACTTCACTCTTTTAACCCTCTCAGTCCACAGCTTGGTCTATCTCTGCAGCCCTCCATCCCACCTATGTTTGTCTTTGTTTTTTTTAAAGGCCTTATGAATTAATTAAACTTACTATTAAAAGCCATAAAACATGAGAATAAAAATTTTGGCTAGCTGCTACAGTTTCTTTGTTTCCATCGTGATATGACAGCTTGGGCCACTGTGTCTCCCCATGCTGACAGGTTGTCTCTTTACTTAAGCTTAACTTCATCATCATCATCATGGTGGTATTCTATACAGGGTTTCTCTGCTTTCTATCAAAATTTTGTGTATTTTTTCCCATGTAGCTGTACATTTGTGTTTATGTATGGGTATCACTCGCAGTTGCCAGAAGTGTTTCAATAAGTGTTACTCCACTGTGGTGTTTTGTGGTACTTGAGCACCTATAAAATTTTTGGGGTAAATTATTACTGCTGGTAACATATGGCATCATTATATGGCTCATGGCTGCTCTAACATATTAGAAATGGGGATGGGGAAATGTATAGTACAGTACGGTATCTCGTACATCCATCGGACTCAAGAGCCAAATGTATAAGGTACATCCATAACAGTGAAAAAATTCATTTAAATTACAGTACTGTACAGGGAGTCCCCGGGTTATGAACAAGTTTCATTCTTGAGGACATTCCTAAGCCAGAAATGTACCTAAGTCAGAACACATACCCTATGTGCACTATATCATAGCCTAAGTCCTTTTATACATCTCAAATCACTTAATTTAAAAGAAAAGAAGAAATTGAATGACAAAATACAGAAAAGGAAAGTAAAAATTAAAGTTTAACACTTGCATTGAAACCTTGGGCTGGCTGATCATCCACCCTTATCACTAACAATCTTTCCATTTCAACTAACAATCCACTTCTTTGTTTTGTTATCACAGTTGAGTGTATTAGTTTAGATCCTTTTACATGGTCAAGAATTTTGTGTTTATCTTTCAAAATTTTTCCGATCATTGACCGATTGAAGCCCAACCCTTTACCAATGACTGCGTGTGTTTCACCTTTTTCAGAAAGTTTAATTACATCAACTTTCATTTCCTTTGTAATTGTTTTCCTTTTCTTGGATGCACTACGCTCACTTGCATCAGGTTTGCATTTGGGAGCTGTGATGAGGGCAGAAAAATAGAGTTAATAAGCAAAAAACAACAGTTTGTACTTGATCACATACATTACTGAGGTGTGAGTAAGGCGTACTGATGCTCCCTCAAGGTGAGTGGCTGAGTGACACATTACTCCTCACCCACCAATCTGCCTTGCCACTATGCAACTCAAATTAGTTCTTGTACATTAACACTACGAACCAGTTGTACCTATGTCAAATTCTTGAAATAATTGACCTTATGGGACCTCGTTCGTATTGGTGGGTGTTCATAAGTTGGACGTTCGTAACTCGGGGACCCTCTGTACTTGAAACTGAAATTGCAGCTCACGATCAATCACAGTTCAGTACAGGAATATGTTCTATATATTTTTTTCCATTGTGAATTAGCCCTTCTTAATCGGCACTCTGACATTTAGGATTTTGAAACATATGTTGGTAGATATTTTGATAGCTTCGCTGCAGTAGAACTCCAATATTTTTAACTAAAGAGGGGAAAAGGGAGTTTGAAATACCAGGTATACTTTCAAATAGGAGGGGATTTTATAACTTAATATTGAGTAAATTAGAAATGCATTCCTAATAAAAGAATATTTTATATTCATCCTCCTTTAATGCTTAAGGTATGTTCTTAAAAATCCATAATTATAGAAGATAGAATAATTTTAATATATTTTGTCATTAAATATACACATATAGATTAAGATAAGATTGGTTCTTTGGTAACCATGAGTTTGGTTAGGTTTGAATTAGGATGATATAATTCGAACCTAAAGAAGTGGTTTGAAGTAGAGATAACCTGTTCGAATTTGGCGAAGTTCGTAATAGCAACACTAAAAATAATGAGATTCTGTTGTATTGTTATTTAGCTTCGTTATAACTAATTTTTATATTTATAAATGTTATTAGTTACTAGTTTTCATGTTTGTATTAATTTTAGTGATGGAGTGTAGTACAAATTTAATTTATTCTCAGTTTTACTAATACTGCACTCACTAATTTTAATAATACCCTACTACCAGTGATTTGATATTAGTGAATATTGATAATAATCATCTAACTCAATGATTTTCTGTTTGGTCTTGGTTCCTGTTGAGAGCAGCTTGCCAACCAGATGAATGGAGATGTCCAAATGGCCAATGTATTCCCGCTGCCTATCGATGTGATGGTCACCAAGATTGCAGCGATGGTTCAGATGAAGACTGTGGAACAGGTAAGGGAGTTTGCTTTATGTCTTTTTTGTCCTGTTTACTTTTTTCATGATCTGAAGTTGAATGTTAATACTCTCTGTCTCCTGTAATTTGCCTCTAATGATTATAGTTTTCATAAAGTTTACTGAAATCCTTTTACTGGTACACACTTTAGAAAGGTGAGTAAAGATGTTGTACTGTCATATATCATTGCTGAATTATCATTTGGGGAATGGCAGGTTAGTACACACAGACTCTACCCGTTCATGTTTCTCAGCGTCGTATCACCATGAATGTGGCGCTTTATAGTTTCCTGTAAGCAGTGCTCAGAAAAAACTTTCAAAACTTTTTATTGCGATTTTTTTATTATTAAGTTTGGTTACGATTTTCCCCCAAGTCATGGATGTAATGTAATTTGCAATTATTGAATGTAATATATAGACATGGCAAAATCGAATAAACAAAATAATATAAAAAATATAACTATAATAGACAGTGAACTCCCTCTAACCTGGACTTGCTGAATCCGGATGCTCTTGCAAAACCCGACTGGGGTCCAGCATTGAACGCATGTATCCCTAACCAGGAAGAACACAACCAATCCCCAGTCAATCCTGGGGAAAGTTTGCATAAGCAGGGGCTGCCAGCTGTGGTGGCACTGGGGGATAATTGAGCAACTGCCTTAGAAGAGGTGGTGGAGGTGGTTATTGAGGAGCACTAAATTGAAGTGTTTAAGAAATATAAATACCTGTAGTGTACTGTATATACAGTCAATGAAATTAGCAGTGAAAACATAACCTTTGCTCTACCTACAGTAATGTACATTGTGAGTGTTGTACAACCACCTGCCTTAATGGCCTCATAATAAATTAATAATTAATAAGTACAGTACGTACTTTATTATTAACATATACTACAGTATGTGCTTCTGTATTTTTATAAACAAGTATATAATAGTGCCCTACTAATGTATACCATATGAAACACTCTTCTCCTTTGTAAAATTTTCTTATGATTCTCCCATTACATTAGGCCACAGTCACGAGTGAAAATATTTATGGTGAACAAAAAAGTGAATAAACTTTTATCCATAGCATTTGTTCTAATTGTGTTAGAAAGTTAAATGATCATGAATAAATTCTCTACAAAACTGTTTCAATAAAATTACCTTAAACAAAACATTTCAGCACAATATAATGATGGGAACTCAATTCTTTTATAAAGAAATTTAAGAAATGTTTATGCCAGTGTCTATAAAATCAGCTCTAATTAAGTTAGAAACTTAAGTTTTGTATCAAATTAATCCTGAATAGTTGATCTAGGTGTTTTTGTAAATAAATATACACTTATGTAAAACAAAAATATGATATGGACCACCAAAGGGAGGTATTATTGGGGTGTGAGGCTTCTATGGAGCCGAGTGTCACAGGTGAGAGAGAATGCACTGCTGCCAGGTGTATGAGAGCTCCAGGCAACACCAGCCTCTCAATGACTCACCGAGTACAGCTATACTGAGACTCTGAGACCCAGTGCCATGCTACTGAGAGCATATGAGAGACTGAGGAAAAATTTACTTTTCCCACAGATGTTAAAATTGGCGAAAAAAACAAAACACACGCACACACACACACACACACACACACACACACACACACACACACACAAGACCCAGTTCATATGGCATATAAAATTCCCAAGAGTGTTAAATCTAGACAAAAAATTACAGCAGGTTCAGTGTTCTTAGGTAGCTTTGAGTTGGAAATCCCCCACCCTCAGGAATTTTTCACCCTGCAATATAGACAAGACAGGTCCTTGCCCTACCCCAAATTTTAGCTAAACCGGACAGCCACCCCCAATTAGTCGGGATTAGAGGGAGTTTGCTGTATCTTGCATTCATTGCATCCCTGACATTATAGAATGACATTACAAAGAGTATAATGGCAAAAGATTTGGTGGCTTAATAAGCCGCCAAAATTTAGTGCATGTACTCACCTTCCTCACCCCTATGTCCTTAGATTGTCTGAAATGTCTTAAATGTAATTTTTATTATTTTTAGTATGGTGGGTTTGGAATGTGATAAATATATGTAATTTATTTATTTATTTTTTGGTAGTTCCACCAACTCCAGCATCTCGCTGCTCTAGTAACCAGTTTCAATGTAGCAATGGGAACTGTGTATCTCAAGCTTTTCGGTGCGATGGATTTCCTGATTGTTCTGATGGATCTGATGAATCTGATGCAGAATGTCGTATGTGTTGTTTTCCTTTTGTCTTTTGTTGTTATGCTAATGCTATGTTTGGTTTGTTAATATGCTATTACAGAACTAGTTTTGAATGATAATGTGTTATTGTTTTATATATATATACACACACACACCTGCACTCTAATATGCCTTATGATATCAGGGTGTTTTTTATTTTTCTCTGAATTTTTTATTGCTTTCAAGAGCTACCCTCTTGTTTATTAAACCTTGCTGAGAAACTGATCTGAGGAACATCTGAAGACTGCTAAATGAATTGAATTATCTTCCTACACCTTAAAAGCCTAAAATGACAGTGAGCATCTGTAGTTTGTTTACTCTTTATCAGCTTGGGATTAGAATATCATGCATCTATCTGGACAGTGTAAACCACCACCATGAGTCTGTTATTTGAAATGATATATTTTATTATTTTGTAATTATTTTTGGTTTTGTGGGGCGATTATTGTTTGAATGTCGTAAGAAATAGTAGAATTGAGTCTGTGGCCAACTGGATAACTGCACAGTGGTTGAATGTGCTGTTACTTGGGAGGTTTGCTAGATAAGGCTTTTTCTGTGACAGCGTCATTAATTGGGAGATTAGTTGTAAGTCTGATAAGGGAGGGGTAAACCTGCAGAATTAATTCAGAATCTAGCAGTATTCAACAGTTCTTAAAAGCAGTACTTCAGTTTGTTAGCACAAAAATTCAAAACATTATTTTGTACTTAATATAAAACCTCCAACTGTTATTCAGTTGACATAAGTTTATGCACAGAAAATTGTTTCAGCATCATGCAAAATGAAGAGAAGACCCCTGAAAATTCAAAGATGTGTGTGTGTATATATATATATATATATATATATATATATATATATATATATATATATATATATATATATATATATATATATATATATATATATATATATATATATATATATATATATATATATATATATATATATATATATATATATATATATATATATATATATATATATATATATATATATATATATAATAAAAGTCTGTGTTTGTATGTGCATTGTGAATTTATTTTAGTACAGTATTTCAAATGGTAATTTGTGGTCTGTTTACAGTGAAGGTCAGAAGCCCAAAGAATTTTAATGTTGAAAAACTGTAAATGAGTGTCATGAACTTGTATGTTTACCATTATCTAAGGTAGTTTCTTTTGCTTGAAGCATGTTAGAGTTCTGTCAATGTGTTTTTCTTGTTAGAATTACAATATTAGTAGAAAGTTGAAGTATAAATAGTATTTTGTGTTTTTTTGTATTACTTTGCTTGCCTGATGCATAGAAGGTATTTGATGTAATTGTTTGGCAGTTTTTTAAGTGCTATTATATTTTTACATCATTGTATTAGTAGCAAAAAATTTATCTACCTGTCTCTCCTACTAATGTCCTTTATATAATTTGTGCTTCACAAACCATTTTTTCGGAGGCCAGTTTTCTGGGTATCTATTATACTGTCTTATGCTTTTTATCTGAAGATTTGTATCTTTGCTTAGCATTTATAAGTTATTTTGCTGAAGTGCTCCTTGAATAGCTTTAATGTGTGCCCTAGGCTGTAATCTCTTCTTTTTTTTTTTTTAAGTAGTGCTTCTGTACCCAGATGTAGTGTGCATCCTGATGCCTTCCTTTGTTGTGACTCGGCTCCATTGTTGTGACTTGGCTCCTTTGTTTATGCATCCTGTCTAAAGTTGATTTGATTCCGACAGCCCCAGAAACCACCTCGTGTTCAAGCAACCAGTTCGCTTGCTCCTCTGGAGAATGCGTTGGTTTGGACAAAAGGTGTGATAGAAAAAATGATTGCTATGACAATTCTGATGAGAGAGGATGCCTTCCCTTCCCAGGTTAGCGGTGTCTTGTTTACTAATAATTTTTGGATTTTATGAGTAACAGCTCTTGTGAATATTGCCAGTTTTCATTTGAGTTTTATAAAAATGAATGCCCAGTCAAGCATTTCTCAATCTAAAAATGATTATACAGTATTCCTAAACATGACATCAACAATACTGTATGATAAAATTACTTGTGAACATCAGTAACAAAATTGTCTAAAACTTGTTTTTTTTATATAAGGCCATAATAATGCGCAAATGACCATGAACACAAGTAATTTACAGGACCATGAAGTAAGGACTATTGTTTGTTATATAACTCTTATATATACAGTATATATATATATATATATATATATATATATATATATATATATATATATATATATATATATATATATATATATATATATATATATATATATATATATATATATATATATATAGTATATATATATATATATACACATATACTGTACAGTATATATATTCTTAGATATATTAATGTGTGTGTACTACTACTACTTCTTACTAACACACACACACACACAAGAGAGAGAGAAAGTGTGTGTGTGTGTGTGTGAGTGAGATATTATGAGAGAGAGACAGATTGTGAGAGAGAGAGTGTGTGTGAGAGAGAGAGAAAGAGAGAGAGAGAGAGAGGGAGAGAGTACATGCTTGCATGTGTGTGTGTGTGTGTGTTAAAAGTAATCTCCCTATTTGCCAGTACCCCTGGTCCCCAGAACACTACAAAAGCTAGAATGGAAATAAGCCTGAGTCTGTGAACAAGTTCTGGGGATAAAAATAAGGCTCATTTTCCGAGAAAATCTCAACAAACATTTTCGTTCCGGGCCCGGGAACAGTAAAAAATAAATCTTGGAGAGGACCAAACAGCTCTGTAACAAATCATTGTTATGCAGGGTAGGGCTAAATGGAGAATTACTATAATTATTTGTAATACAATAATTTGGATACGAATGGTCTTTTATTTTTTACTTTAACGGCCCTTAGTTCATAATACAGTATACTGTTAAAGCCAAGGTCCGTTAGGGATTTACTGTAAACTTTATCCTGAGTCTTGTGCGACATGATGGTTAACAGCCTTCAAAGATACCCCAGCCAGCCAGTTTATTCATGTTGTTAGTCATGTTAAATTTAACTTTTTCTAAAAGGTAATGCTTGCTGCATAGTAGGCTGGGCTTAGATTAGTTGATAATTAGTTGTACTTTTACCAATTTTTTTCTGCACTCTGAGCAATGCTTCACCATTGTGAATTGTTTTATCATACAATAGAGCAACATCTAATGGAACACTCCATAATGATGGGTTTTGCTCTGCCACCATTTCTAAGAACATTGATCATTGGCATCTCTATAAGAACAAAGGGGTCAGTTAGAAATTTGTGTGAAGGACCCTGTTGGTGGCATACCAGCACAAATATCAAGGTTTTGTGGATATAGGAAATCTTTTATAGAAAGTTTAACTACTCTTAAGAGGCAAGAAAATCTTATTCCTATGAGAAGACCGAAAAAATAAGGGATAAATGAATTCAAAAGTGTTGGCAAATGTGTCAAATCAAGACTTTAGCTTAGACAATTAAAACACCTTAGGGTCCACAGTCACCCTACAACCACTAAACCTCTTCTCATCACTGTCCAGAAGTGTAAACTTATCAATTTTGCAAAGGTATATTGAGATTTATCTCTACATCAGTGGTGTACAGTTGTCTGGAGTGATGTATCGGCTTTTATTATCACTGTGACTTAAAATTGTCAAGAAAGTTGCCTCCCCGGCTTTGAAGGTAGACATATCAGAACAAAGTAAAACAGATGAAAAACCCACATTTTGCTCAGGTAAGGGAGTGCTTTTGTATCAATGTGTGTTGGGACTTTGTGTTTACTGTATGAAAACTGCTTTATATCAAATTTCTGTCACATTGTAATGATGCTCTGGCAAATTTTTTGTACTGAGCAGGTGTCTCACACACCATGTGGGGCTGGATGTGAATTTTGGTTTACACACACACACATTATTTTGCATTTTATTAGTGGTGGTTAGAATTTAGACATTTTGCCTGAAATTTTCATAAATTATTCCATATTGGTGGTAATTAAAATCACAATTGAAGCAAACATGAAACCAATTAATCCTTTTCTTGCATTTCTATATTTTAATTTCCATTTAAATAAAATAGAAGACCATTCCCATATTCTAGATACCATGTGTAAGTTTATCTTACAGCGAATTTTCCCTTGCAATATCATTAAAGTTTTATTTCCTCACTCTTTATTTTTTATAATATAGTTGTACTGTATTTTATTTGACTACTAATAAAGTTGAATTTACTGTTATTTAGTTGATTTCACAATACAGTATACAGTATTTTCCTTAGATAGCCTTGTCATGTTGTGATATCATCATAATTCTAGATATAATTAATTTTATTTCCATATTCTTCGAGTTTCTTTGTAGATGTAGAAGATAATTTGTTAATGGTTTAATAAAGCACATTAATATGCTAAATTATTTAAAATTTACTAATTTTGTCTTAACTTGCATTTTTCTGTATAAAAATTTAATATGGGTTAGATTTTCTTTTTACAATATACTGTATAACTGTGTCATATTGTACCTACTAAACAAAAGAAAATTTACCCACACTTTATAGTTAGGGATATTGGGAATATACTTGATAATGATGGATTGGAGGGTGCATGTGTTCTGGGTATCAAGTTCTATCTACAGGAGTGAACACAAACACCTGTAGAGTTTTCGTAGGTTCTATTTCCTGGATAAACAGAGATACACAAGCGAGGTGGCGCTCCTTACTCTGTCTGGGGGGTCAACTAGCCTCTAGGCGACATGTGGCAAGTGATACATTAACAGCTCCCATATGTCGCCAGGCACATTAATTAGGCGTGTGGGACATGGTAAATACATTGCCACACGCTGCTAGCTAGGCTGAATAAATAGTGTATATAAATGGAGCACATACATAATATACATACATAATATACATACAGCATACATAATATACATACAGAGGGCAAGCATGAAAGGATATTTTTCACTCAATTGTAAATTTGTAATATCTTCACTCCCAATATTTTACAGGTACTATGCATATGAAAACTAATTTATGAAGAACATTCCTATTTATAAGATATCGAGTATTTTCTTCTCAATTAAGCATCAAATCCTTTGTCAAGATCTTGATACAAATACTTAGCCCAACTTGGAACTTCTTGGACATTTGGGTCTTTCCATTTTGCTATTACTGTATTCAGAACTCATCTGTGTCATCCTCTTCACTGCCACTTACCTGCGTGGCAATGAATTGTCTTTCATTTTACTTGTAATTGTTATTGTTATACCAGTATATCATAATAATTCTAAAAATCTATCAAGTTGTATTAAAATACAGTGCAGCCTGGTCACCATGGGAAGGCTTTGAATTTGAGCCAGGTAAGAAATACTGCAAGACAATTATGAGAAAACTTCAAGTCATGCTTTTGCATCAGGACGACATGGTGATTGTGAGCAGTGTCCTGTACTGTGAATGTTTTAATCTGTATTATTATTAGGCAATGATCAGAGATAGCATATAGTAAACCCTCACACTTCCGGACAATTCGGAGGGGGGGGGGGTTCCGTTTGAACCGGGGGATGAAGGCGCATTAACGATAATCATAATATTGTACATCAGCTTGCACTCCTCAATAGTCGTCTTAGGGGTTGAAGAATCTAGACTATATTTCATTGCAAATGACTGCAGAGAACCCTTAGCCTTTCGTATATCAGACACCGTTTGCTTAGCGACGCCATATTCGCTGCAGCATCTCACTAGAGACCAACCACTCTCTAACTTTTGTAACAACTCCAGCTTCTGAGTTACAGTAAGCTGCATGTGCCTTTTTTGGGGAGCCATCACTACACTTCACAACAGTCACAAAAACAGTCACAAGGCACAAAATACACAAGGAACAACAAAGGGGCCTGATCGAGAGGTAGCGAGATGGTGTATACACACCAAGACTACAAGTGAGACTGAGGAGGGACACGCGCTGTGTAAAGTGGCAGGAGATGTGGATAGGGTCCATTTTAGCAGCAGTGGAGTAAACGCAGCTTACAGATTGAGAGAGAGAGAGAGAGACTAAATACGAGTTTGCCACATCCAGACTTCGTCCGGACTAACCGAAATCTGGATCTGAGAGGTCCAGAAGTGTGAGGGTTCAAACAAAGCAAATATACTTTGAATTTCAATTGCAAAATATATTAGATTTAAAACAAAATTGAATCACATTGAAGCAGTTCTTGAGTTATCTCATCCACCTGTCTTGGATGTTAGGTAATTACTTAGAATATACTGTACTAGTACTGTGCCTGACAAGAGTCAAGGAGATCTAAGGTGAGTAGAAATTTTCATCTGACAAAATCATTGGATGAAGTATGTTCAGTAGCACCAAAGCTGTTGATATCTGTGTAATTCATAATTTTTTTCCCCTTAGATCGTGTGGACTGCAGAGAGAATGAGTTTAAGTGCGCAAATGGTTTGTGCATAGAAAAGGCATGGCGATGTGATACTGTACCTGACTGTGATGATGGGTCTGATGAAGAAAAATGTATGCTTTGATTTAGTTTTTGTCTGCAAAGATTCTGATATCTTCCTTTTTCTTGTAAATAAACACAAACAAGCAAATTAAAATTATTTTACCATTGTGGTACAATTATCATTAATTATGGACATGGAAGGTGTGAAATTTGCTTTACAGTTCAAAAGGGAAAAGATATCAGAAGCTTATTTCAAGTATATTTATTGCTATTGTTTATCTTTTTTGTTCATCTTATCCCTTTTCATGTACTTTAAACATTTTCATTTATACCAATCTTCTTTATCATTTTTCCATTTTTTCAGATGCTCTATATTCTGATCCTATCCATATAGGAGTGGTATGGTAGTAATGATGATAATAATAATAATAATAATTAACGGTTTATTGAAAAAATTCTGCAGCCCGAAGGCTGAAAATATACATTGGACATAAATGACTTATTACATACATTGGTGGTTTAACAAAAGCCTTCATTAGAGAAAGGTAAAGGAACATACAGTGAACATACAGATTAATGTAGGTGTTGAACAGCAAACTCGTAGTGTAGTAACTCCCTCCCAGATGGTGTTAGGAGGAACTCACGTGGTTTAGTAGTTCCCTCAGATGGTGTTATGAGGGACCTGGCTTGGTGTAGTAACTCCCTCACAGATGGTGTTATGAGGGGCATCACGTGGTGCAGTAATTCCCTCACAGATGGTGTTATGAGGGGCCTGACGAGGTGTAGTAATTCCCTCACAGATGGTGTTATGAGGGACCTCACGTGGTGTAGTAATTCCCTCACAGGTGGTGTGATGAGGGACTTGACGTGGTGTAGTAATTCCCTCACATATGATATGCAGATAGACATGCCTTTTGAAATTTAGAAGACTATTTTAATGATAAACAAGTCATATGGTTATGCTGGCTCAGCATGACAAAGGCACCTTGTCATGCTTTGTGATTAAAATGGCAGTGCTACAGTGTACCTGTATTTTCAATTGGTCTAATGAATTATGAAGGTAAAGAGGTCTTTAATTGAATTGGATGTTGCCCAATCTTGAGACCAGAAAGCCTGAATGGCTTTTAATTTATCTCACTAGCTGTCAATCTTCCATCTCATAGAAAGCAGCACTCCAGGAGATAACCTCCCGACATGGCTTCCACCATATCAAATATCCACTGGATTTCAAACAGGAATCTTACATCTATGGTCTCTTGTTTTTTTACTCTTTTTCTCCTCACCTTGATTAAGATAAGTTTCACCTTCAGACGTTACATTAGTGTTAAGATGTTACAAACAACCAATGAAGTTGCACCACTGTCAAACAAGGTGGACAGCATTTCTCTGTTATATTAAATTTCTTTTAGATTGACAGAACATGGAACTACAATATATCCAACATAATAAAGCAAAGATACAGTATGCTGTACATAACTCAGGCATGCTAAACAGAGTACAGGAGTTCTTCTCAATGTGTAGACCAAATTAAATAAATGATATATATTTTTTTCATGTTCCATTACATGTATTCTGCACACATGTCTTTATTTTTGTAAATTAAAAATAAAATTTTTAAGACCCTTCATCGAGTGCACGATAAATTTACCACAAACCACAGCAGAGGAGTTTTGACTCAAAATACAATCAGGGAAATAACTTTTTTGTGCTTAATGATATATCTTAGTGGCAATATACTGTATTTTGATGAATATAAGCAACACTTTTTCCTAAAAAAAAAAAAAATAAGTAAATAAAAAAATGTGCAGCTTACTATCCGATACATTATATTAGTATGTTACATTTTATATTTCTTCATAGGTATAAGCTGTAGACCAACTGAATTCGAATGTGGAGATGGAAGCTGCATCCCAGAATACAATAGATGTGATGGAAGATATGACTGCACAGATGGTTCAGATGAGCGTGTCAATTGTGCTGGTAAGATATTTTTGTATACACTCTATGAAAATATATTTTTATGGACTCTACTACTTGATTTATAAAAAAACATGAGATACTGTACATCTACCAGACTAGCAATTAAAAATTTTTGGTTGCTGCATTTATGTTTTGATATAAATTTGTCAAATTTATATGTACATGCATAGTTTATGGTGTTACATATTTCATGAATATTTTTATATTTTTTCTTGTGTCTTTAATTAAATGAGATACTGTACAGGCTTTAATGAAATTATCTTCAACATAATTCATAAATGATTTTATCTTTAAATTACCGGTACGTATAGGGACTTTCAATCGAGCTATGAATTAACCCTTTACCAAGGTTAGGTTTTAGAACTTGCCTTTTTTTTTTCTTTTTAATTAAAAATGCTTAGAAAATTCTGATGGCTGTGTGGGAGGTATGAACAGTGACGGATGTCATATCGGAGATCCAGCATAGCCTAGATAAGATAAGATTTTTTATTTAATTTCAGGTTTATTTTCTTCACATAGCTAAAAATTTTGACTCAAAATTCAGTAAAGGTATTCATCATAACAATCATGATATGAGTACTGTATGTAGAATGTTTAAAAGAGAAACATCTTAAGGTACCTGTATTTTTATAACATTGTAGTTTTGGGAACTAGCTGTCCTGCCCTTAAAATGTCTCAAAACAAACACAAAAGTGATGGTACTGACTGCAGTAGTGGTAAAAGAAAACAAGATATGATTATCAAAGAAAATAGAAATTCTCCAAAAAAGACTCCATTAGCAACCATTTGGGATTCCTGATACCCAAGTGTACCAAACAAGATGTGCATATTGATGTGTGAAATTCTCAATACTGTATATATATATATATATATATATATATATATATATATATATATATATATATATATATATATATATATATATATATATATATATATATATATATATATATATATATATATATATATATATATATATATATATATATACATACATACATACATACATACAGTAATACCCCAATTTACGAGGTCAATTGAACCCGCGGAGGTCCGCGTAAAATGAGAAACGCGTAAATGGAATAACAGAACATATGGGATTAATTGAAATAGAGACTGGGCCGACTCCCAAACTCCACTTTTTCCGACACAATACCTATGCTGTAGTAAAAATAACATCTTAATTTTATGATGGTATGCACACAACTAATATTTAAGAGAAATACAGTTGCCAGGTTAATGTCCATTCAAATAAGACTCAACTCCTTCTCTTCCCACGCTGGCTCCTCCCTCTCTGGGAAATGTTTGGGTGAGAACACTAGATTTTAAGGTATAGTAATAAATAATACCTCAGACTAAAGTTAGGATAATATAATTGACATTGCTGGATTCCTTGCAGGTCAGGGAATATTTTGAATATACACGTCATATATTTTGCACAAAGGATAACATATTTGCTCTGTGTAAACAAAATTCTTACATTAGATCTAAAATTTGTATGTCTAATGCAAAATCCATGATGTTTATATTCAAAATGATCATCATATTGTAAGAACTCCAGCAATGTAAATTATATTCTGGCCGGGTAATTTGTATGAATTTTATGAGCTAAATAAAAAATTATACTTCACCCGCGTATATGAGTAGATGCACTGCGTAAAGTGGGAATTCCGGTTCTGGCGGAGTACCGTGTAAATGTGGAAATGGGTAAACGAGAACCTCGTAAAGTGGGGTATTACTGTAATATATATACTGTATATATATATATATATATATATATATATATATATATATATATATATATATATATATATATATATATATACAGTAAAACCTCCATTAACCGATTTTTGGATTAATCGTCAATCCCGAACTTATAAAAAAAAAAAAAATTTTTTACGGGGATTAGCCCACCCGGGCACAGGTCACTGACCCACATCGGGGCCTGGGGGACGATAATGTAATAATATTAATACTGATAATGAAAATAATAATAGTAATAAAGAACCATAAATAAATGCAAAAATGAAAAAAAAATCAAGAATGAGGAACAATATATGTATGTTGTGTTGTCAATAATAAGAGAAGCAATTGAGACCCTACAATTGTGTGTAAATGAGGTAGAAAGTCAGATCAGCAACCTGGGACTTGGTCAAAATTTTTGTGATGACATATGTTCTTTGACTTTTCCATTTTTTATTCACGGTTTCTGTGCTGGTTTATATTTATTTACTAAAGTGGTTAATGTTTTAAAGCAAATTCTATTGAAATATGAATGGCAAATGAACAAAAATGAATAGAGGGAGTTAAATGAGGTAGGTTAGGGAAAGGTACTTTGAAAATGTATGTTTTATTTCCGTAGACTTTATGTAATATTAACCGACTTTTTCGATTATCCGTCGGCCCCTTCCCCCCATATGTGGTCGGTTAATCGAGGTTTTACTGTGTATATATATATATATATATATATATATATATATATATATATATATATATATATATATATATATATATATGCAAGTAAATCACTGTAGGTGCACGTGATTTTTCAGGTGAGTACAGACTGTAACACCCTGAAGATGTGAATTACACGAAAGCGCTTGGGAACTTCGTTTTCTTCCTTGTGGTTATCATATATATATATATATATATATATATATATATATATATATATATATATATATATATATATATATATAAACACAGTGGGATATACTTTAACGAATCTAATTGGTTCTAGAACCTTGTTCGTTATAGCATTCATTCGTTATAGGATTAATCCTTTCCAGGCCCCTAAATACAACCACTTAACCCTGAAAAATATAATATAAAATTGTAAAAATTTTAAAAAAGTGCATAAATATGCATCTATACCCCTGAAATAAAGAATATTATTAATACTTGTAATAAAAAAACAATAAATTAGTAGGAGTTTCGTTCGTTATAGCATTCTCAATTTTATAGGTAAAACCGTTCGTTATAGGAATATTCATAGTAGAATCCATTCGTTATAACATTATATACACACACAGGAGGTCCCCGTCTTATGAACGCCCGCCAACACGAACGGGGTTAAACTTGAAATTTACAGTACAGTAAACCCTCGATAACTCTGAATTTCGTATAGCTCAGCATGGATATGGTCTTGGAATGTATTATAGTATAACTCAGGAAATGCTGAGATATATAAAATTATCTGGGAAAATCTTGGCATATACTTTGCCTGCATTGCTGAAAAGTGTTACTTTTTTACATTTAGTATTCGATAATTTTTTATTGTTGTATTTTTGAAAGAAGGGGAAGTGCCTCAATAAGTCGGAATTTAGGATAACTCAGCAAGGCCAGAGCCCCATATGTGCCGAGTTATCGAGGGCTTACTGTATTTTATTTACCTGATGAATTATTTTTTATTTTCATTTACTCTACAGGGGCCCCCTGCGGATTTTTATTTCGCGGTCCTCTATTATTTGCAGATGACACCCTGGATGTGCCCATGAATGTCTGTGGATTGTTTTAAAATTGCCTGCATTTTTGCGGCTGGAACAGGGAGCCATTCGTTCTAGAGACAGTAATTTCCTTTACCTGTACACCCACCTCTTGTTTTATGCGGGGGTTACTTTCTTGGAAATCACCGCATAATTAAAAAAAGCGTAAATTACACATATTTTTCTCATAAGAATACATGTAAATGGTACAGGTTAGGGGAAAAATAATATAACTGCCACAATAAATATTCTTTTACCTTCCTCATTAATAAAGAAAAAACAGTTATTAAAGGAAAACAATGGGAAATACATCTTAAATAACACTTACATTGACGACTGGCGACTTCTGCTTGCCCAAGGTGGCATAGGGGAGGGTTGAGCAGGGAGGCTATAGAGGCGGAGGAGCGAGTATGGGGGAGTCGGTGGTTGAGGGCAGGGAGGAGGGTGGGAGGGGTGGGGGGGCTGACGTGAGGTACTGACTAGCCAACGGGGAGATTACTGAACCAGACGTTGTTATCAGTCATATAGAGGGAGTTTAAGTTTTCAGCTTATAAAAGGTCAATGAATTGCCTTGGCAGAATATAACTTACATAGCCTCCCACGAGATTTTGTCATCATATCTTGGAGTTATGTAAAAAAGTATTTTTAATTCTTTATGTAAAAAATAATTAAACAATAATTTACAGTCGAGTACTTTACTGCCATTCTGAGTTATATCAAATTCCGAGTAATTAAATTCTGAGTTATCAAGGGTTTACTTAGCCTGCTGCCACTACAAGTAGCAGCTGGGGGATTGCCAGGGTTATTGTACATCACTTTTTCATAGTAGTGACAATGCAGGAAAAGCATTTAGGTAGTCATCAGGTAGCCACCATTGTAAAACTTATCTTCGCCATCACATAGCGGTATTTTGTGTCAATTTCTTTACATCGTAAAGCTGATGGATCGTATATTAATCAATCGTATAACAGTTAACACCTGCATTTACAATCAAATGACTGTACTGTATTATTTTCCTTTTATTCAGATTGTGGCCAGAATGAATTCCAATGTGGAAATGGTGACTGCATTCCATTCACTCAGCGTTGTAATGGGTATGCAGAGTGCAGAGATCGATCTGATGAACAGAATTGCAGTGAGTATGAGCTTCCTAATTACTTTTTATATGTGCTTCATGTTTTATTATTTCGTATTGAATCATTGGAAAATTTCAGATTGCATCTTGGGGGAATTTAATTTACATATTCTTTTATCGTGGTATGTCTTATAACTGATAATTATGCTTAATTATCTTTTATTAAAGGATCACCGGCATGCTGTGGATGTTTGCTTTGCCAAACTACTCTCATCATGCATTACTTCTTGTTTGTAAATGAATAATTTAAATTATGCATGCAATTATTCATTTCATTTTCAGTATGTATGAATTCAAGGAATAGCTACACCTGATATTATGTGAAGAAGCAATTATGTGTTTTTTGCTTGATAACACCAATAAGAATGGGTCATACTTTGTTTTGACGAAATGTAAATTACAGGTTGCCTCACACTCACTGAGGGTTGCATTCTTAGAAAAAGTAATTATGGATTTCCATAATAAGAGGGGATTATATTCCCAGCCACTGCCAAAATATCCCTTTTGATTATTTTTTTTAATATAAGTACAGTTACTGTATTCATACTACTGAATGTGTATTTACTAACTGCAACATGATAATGCAGGACTAAGCAATACTGAGGAAAGAACTGTTAAGAAAATGTTTTTTTCAGTATTAAAATTATATCAAATTTTCATAAAATATATGAGACAATTGAGTAAAATAAGAAAATCACTGTTTCTAGGGGCATATATAATGGCATATAATTCAGTATAAATATATTTCTGGTATATACTACATCTTTGCTGCTAAATTTATTAAATAATAATAGAATATATATGGTAGCAGTTAAAAAGAAATTAAATTGCCACTACAGGGAGCCCCCCAAATTTGCGGATTTTTATTTCACGGTTCTCTATTATTCACGGATGACACCCTGGATGTACCCAGGAATGTCTGTGGGTATGCCTGCATTTTCGCGGCTGGGACAGGGAGCCATTCGTTCTAGAGACAGTAATTTCCTTTACCTGTATTGTAAATATATGTGTGTGTGTAGACACACACACACTAAACACACATAAATAAATAATAATTGGAAAAATCCTCTCACAAATAATCAGAAACAAATTTATTAAAAATGTGACAGTCTACCCTCAAGTCCGTGCTTTATTAATAAAGTACACTAATATAGTACGGACTTGAGGGTAGACTCACATTTTTAATAAATTTGTTTCTGATTATTTGTGAGAGTATTTTCCCATTATTATTTATTTATATGTGTTTTGTGTGTGTGTTTACACACATATATATATATACAATGCAGTGGTCCCTCGGTTAACGAGCACAATTCGTTCCAGAAGGTTGCTCGTTAACCGAAACCATTGTTTCAATGGGTTTTTGGGTAATTGGTTCCACCTCACCGAAAATTACATACAAATTAAAAATAAATGCAGTAACATAAACTTACTTTGAGGTGTGCATGTAGAAGGCTCCTGGTTGATGATGATGATGATCAGAATTAGAATGGGGGTGGTGGAGAAGGGAGAAGAGAAGGCAGTGAGGGTGGAAGAGAAGTCACCCTATGCTGCCATTTCACCCATAAAATTTTAGTTCACTTAGTGTAATTCAAGATTATTTTCTTTAAATCAACACTGCACTGCGCTATATATTATCAATATGTAAAATATATTTCAAAATTACCAATAATTTGACTGGAAACACAGAAAAAAGCATTTATGTTGAAGAGTCTCAAACAAGATGTTCCTTCCTCTGAACTGGTAAACAAACTGACTCCAAGCTTGGTGTTTTGAGTGGCTGTTTGGCACGCAAAAAACTAGTTTCCTGTATTTCAGTTATGTTCAATAATTGTTAAAATGACTAAAAAAATTAATATAAAACTTTTAAAATTATTGAATAGTACAACCTTCTTGATATTTGCTAAAATGGTAAGGAATTTAAGCCCTAAAACCGATTACTGTATTGGCGGACTAATACTACAGCGGGTGGGCAGCCAAATGCAGGCGAAAACATATTGGGAAAAATTTGTAAGGAATTCGTTAACCGAGGGTTTGCTCGTTAACCGAAGTGAAAAATCATATTGAAGGTATTTTGTTAACCGAAATTTCGTTAACCGAGGTGCTCGTTAACCGAGGGATCACTGTACAGGTAAAAGAATAATTGTTCTAAGGACAAACACATAAAAGGAAATATACATTTCTTTGTACATACAGTAATTAAAACTGTACCCCCACCGGTCAGCAAATGTTATTTGCAGATTTTGCGATTCGCCGCCATTTTGATAACCTAACCCCTGCGAATTTGGAGGGCTTACTGTACTAGATAATCTTGACCTATCATGCCCAGAATTTTTTTTTTATCTTTAAAGTATATATTTTATCGAAAGACCAAAAACTATCCTAATTTTGCTTTTGGGCTTTAAACTGACCATTACGCATCAATATGTGTGGGTGTGTCTCGGGGATTTTCCCTGTGCTTCTCAGGCAAGCGAGCCAAATAAGAATGTAAAGTGATTTTTCTTTACTTTGCTTCTATAAATATTTTATATCTTTCCTCCTATTACTCACATACTCATGGAGCACAATGTAACAAATCAAAAGTTAAAAAGGTTTTATTAGTTTATTTTGCCATAATGAATATTTTTTTATATCAAATAACAAGAACCACGCGATAGCAACAACGCACCTCAACTGCCTGTCCTGGCTGAGTGAACATAACAATCCTATACAGGTATTTTAGTTTTCTTTTAATAAATTGGGTTTCATGTCATTATTCCTGCCTGATTACATAAATTTTATTTATTTAACTGTATTCAGTTATGTACAGTACTGTACTGTTTGTAACTTCTTAAGAAAATATAGAAAAAATATTTAACTGTATTCAGTTATGTACAGTACTGTACTGTTTGTAACTTCTTAAGAAAATATAGAAAAAATATTTAACTGTACTCAGTTATGTACAGTACTGTACTGTTTGTAACTTCTTAAGGAAATATAGAAAATTATTTATGTAAACACTTGATCAAACAATATTATAATGGCAACACCTCTAGCCTTGCATGTGTGTCACCACTCTTGCTCCCACCACCAAAACAACACGATGTTTTGGTGGTGTTTCAGGGTTCTGTCCCTCAACCCTCCTCACCTGGGACAGTTGTCATTATCACTTATTTAGGCTATAAGAAGTCACTAGTGACCATGAGAGGTTCATAAATACAGTGGCATTTTAAAACGGCAGTGACACTTCAGTGACGATGCCATCCTGGGTTAGAGCTCCAATTTGCCATCTTCAGATTATTACTACTGTAAACAAGACATAACCACCCAGATGGCTAGTAAACTGATAAGTGGTGAAATTTATAAGAAAAAATAACTAGGGTCATGGTTGGCACAATTTAAATCAAGTGATTTAAAACACTGATTTAAGTGTGCTTTAAATTGGTAATTTACAACACAGTAAGTGTCAAAAGTGTCATAAATGCATATTTTCATGATAGTAATTTTTCTACTATAGTCTTTTAAATAATTTATTAGTGGTTAGAAATAGTCATTGTGAGCAGTAATCAGGGATGTGTATTTTATTTTACGGGGACTATCCCACCCGGGCACAGGTCACTGACCCACATTGGGGCCTGGAGGGCGAAAATATAATACCATACTGTAATAATAATAATTAACAAAATAAATAACAATTATAATAATAATAATAATTAATAAAATAAATAACAATTATAACAAATAATAATAATAATAATCATAAATACAAAAAATTTAAAATAAATCAAGAGTGAGAAACGACAGTATGTACGTTATGTTGTCAATAGTAAGAGAAACAATTGAGACCCTGCAATTGTGTGTAAATGAGGCAGAAAGTCAGATCAGCAACCTGGGACTTGGTCACAATTTTTGTGATGCCATATGGCAGCAGGGTTTACCATTAGACAATGCATTATGCTTCCAATATCTTCCCAGGCGGTAGTACCTCCCTGTTTGATAGCTGTCTACTACCTACTATTTATTTAGAACATATGAAGATACAGTATTATAAACTGAAGGCTGTACAGTACAGTATGGTATTGTGTTTTATGCAGAGTTGTAAAAAGTACTGAAATTTGTTACTTAAGTAAAAGTATTGTTAAATTGGCAAATGTTACTCAAGTTGAAGCAAAAGTATCCAAAGTTCAATGTATTCAATTAGAAGTGAAAAGGTATCTCATTCATAAAGTACTCAAGTACTAAAAGTAAAAATTAACAACAAAATTATTAATCGTCTCGAATATTAAAATAAATGTACGGTAAATTATATAAAACTAGATAACTAAAGAAAAATAAGACATTGAATTAATGGTTATTTGCAAAACTTTCTATTGAGATTTGAAAATAGCAGCTTCAGAATTTTCTAAATACCCTGTATATAAAAACTTTAGGCTATGCAAATTTAAAATGTGTATGATGTTTGGTTAATGAAACTGGGATATTTTTTTATTAGGCTTGAATTTTTATATTATCAACACAAATTATCTTAATTTGATTTTATATTAGCAGGAAAAAATAATGTGCAGAAATGAGGGTTATTTTGATGTTTGGTAAACACTTTCATATTATAAACTGCTCAGAATTAAGGGTTATTCTGATGTTCGGTTAACTTTTTGAATTGTGTACAAATTGACAAGATGTGCACCAGTTTGCATTTATAAATTTGTTATAATCTTTGAGCAGTGTGCAAACAGATTTTTTTTATCTATTTATTTTATTTGTAAACAATTGTTGTATGCTGTTTGATAACACTGAACATGAAGAAACAATTCCCTGTTACAGTGATCCCTCGGTTAACAAACGCCTCGGTTAACGAAATTTCGGTTAACGAACTGCCTTCCATAAGAATCTTCAATTCAGTTAACGAACAAAAATTCGGTTAACGAATTTCTTACGAACCGACTTCAACATGTTTTAGCTTGCACTGGCCGGGCAACCAGCTTTAGTATCAGTCCGCCAATACATTAATCGGTTCTAGGGCTTAAATTCCTTACTATTTTAGTAAATATCAAGAAGTTTATACTATTCAATAATTTTAAAGGTTTAATATTCAATTTTGTAGTCATTTTAACAATTATTGAACATAATTGAAGGTAAAGTGACTAGTTTAATGCTCGGCATCCAGCCTCTTAACACAGCAAACAGGCGTTAGTCTCTCTCTGTTTTCACTGGAGGTAACATCTTGCTTGAGACTCTCTCCAACTAAATGCTTTTTTTTGTGTTTCCAAGCAAATTACTGGTCATTTTGAAATATATTTTACATATTGACAATATATAATGCAGTGCAGTGTTGATTTAAAGAAAATAATCTTGAAATACACCAAGAGAACCAAAATTTTATGGGTGAAATGGTGCCATGGGGTGACTTCTCTTCCACCCCAATGCCTTCTCTTCTTCCTTCTCCTCCACCCCCATTCTAATTCCCATCATCATCATCCAGGAGCCTTCTACATACACACCTCAAAGTAAGTGAACTTTTCTACCATTTTTGTTGAATTTAGGAAATTTTTGATGAGCTGGAACCAATTACCCAAAAACCCATTGAAACAATGGTTTCGGTTAACGAACTTTTCGGTTAACGAACAACCTGCTGGAACGGATTGAGTTTGTTAACCGAGGGACCACTGTATTGTCAACTTAGTAAGGAGACTAACAATGATTTTAATATCGTCTTTATTCCTTGGGGTGGAGGTTAGTTAGTATTAGTATTTACCTTCAACACATAAGTGTTTTAGTTGTGAGCAAGGACTACAATGCTTTGAAGTTAACCAATATTTTTTAAGCTCAATTTTAATATTATTTACAAGCTAGATGTATGGATGGATTGCATTTGTGCTCTCTAGATTATGATACTATGGAGCTTCACAATTTTTACTGCATTTGCACTGTTTCAGCAAACCGTTCCCTACAGATGAAATAAGTTTTCCTTCAGAGTCAGATTGCTTATGTGTATACGTACATGCAGTATTTACTTTTCAATGATTTCAGATTTTTTTTATCAACATTTTACTTCTGTTGTTTATTTTTACATGTATGACTAAAAATATGTTTTTAATGAAAATTCCAACACAAGAAAATAAAATGTTTCGCAGGCTGCAGTAGTGTTGAGTGGCAGTGTGACTCAGGAGAGTGTATTTTCAGCACAGAAATATGTAATGGCGTGCGGGAATGCTCAGATGGGTCAGATGAAAGAGATTGTTCAGGTGTGTTGTCCAGTGTCCATCTGTACTGTTAGATGTAAACAAAACTTTCCTCTTTGAAAACCCTCTTCTTTAAGCTTGCCATGTATATATAGTATAATATTTAAAATCAGACTCCTTATAAACGAGTATTGCTGTAAGGGGTCACACCAGGGGTTCAGAATTGGCAAGATGCTGTTTTTGGAACCTGTGTGTGTGTGTGTGTGAAACAAACATGCATTTTGTTTATGTGCCTGAAATATCAATGTCAACCTCTGAATTTACAAGTACAGTACTGTATATAAATATTCAAGGATTCAAAATTTTTATGACAATTATTTTAACCCAGAAATGCACTTTAAACATCTTTATAAACACAAACACATGCAGAGGTTCCCAAAAGAGAATCGTGTCTGCTTGAATTTCTGATATAACCACCTTTCCAGTTTTGCGGTGCTTTCATTTATCCTTTGTCCCATCACTTCACCCCACACATTACCGGACCTCAGATTCTTCCAAGCCTTGCTACGATGGCCAGTTCCGGTGCAGCACTGGTGAATGTATTAATCACTCTCGCCTTTGTGATGGCTACGATGACTGTGAAGAAGGTCAAGATGAGAATTTTTGTCCCTTCAACTTCAACTCCCCTTCAAACTCCACCCCTGAATTTGTTCCCGAAGCCCCAGGTTCGATCTTCATATGTCAGTGCACTTGGTTGCTATAAAATCATACCTGTCTTCTGTTTATTAAACAGGCAAATATATGTTCATCTTAAGAGAATGTTTTCGAGTTGATATATATTGCCATAACAAACAGATATTTCTTTGCAGTTATCATATTTTGAACTTTAAGTTCAGTATTGTTTAATATTGTTCTCTTATTACTAACACATAGTTATTTTTCAAATAATGGCAGGTACAGGAGTGGGCTGTTTTATAAAGTACAACTTCATTTAACTAATATATGGATGTTACTGTACTATACTTGTACAAGTAAAACATAGATGAATGTTTCAAAAATTCATTTAGTCTGTGTTAACATACTAAATACAATTTTCTACAACCACTTGATGGCAAACCCCCAAATGAGAGGAGGGTAATTAATGATGACATACCCGTTGCCGACTTTTCATAGAAAATGAATTTACAAATGCTGCCATTTAACTGTGTTTTGCAGTGAACACTGTCATAGTGTGGGCAAATGTTTTAAAATGGAATTTTCTATATTGAACATAACCTAACCTTAGTTGATAAAAACACAATTGGCTGAAGCATTGTTAGAAGACTGCACCAACCTAACCAAAGAAATTTACTTAAACTCGCCTACCTTCCTAGCTGGGGGGCTCCATTCCTTACCATATTAAACAAAAAGAACTTACTCTGATATGGTGTAATTTTACGCTTACTGTGGATGAGAAAGAAGCCGCTCGGACCGAATGGCTCGTAAACTTACATTCAACGGTGGACAACATTGAGCATGGATAGGGTCTCCATACCATTTTATCGCCACGAAAGATGAAGTAGTGGTGATAAAGTTAGCATAGGGGCCTAATTATCTACCAAACGAAGCATTTACCCAAGAAATTAATATCATATCCAAACTCGGCGATTGAAATATAGTAAGAAAATATCCATCTGAACAAATTATGCTGTGACGGGTAGGTCATCAATATTAACTGAGAGGAGATAGATTAGCTAGGACAGTGAATCAATGTGGGCCAAACTTACCACACACCACTGCAAGCAACCCACACCAACCTTGCCAGCCAAAGAATTGAACTCTAGTTTCTAACTGGGCAATAGCACTTCAGTCAGTTTTAGACTAATTTATAATTTTCAATCAAATACAGGGAATACAGTAATTTCAGTTAACTGTCCACCTTATGATAATCATTTGTTTTGTTTTTTACAATCTGTATTAACGATTGTGTGTGCATGTAACAGTAAAAAATAAAAACAAAATTGCGTATACAGTACTTGTATCTAGTTACAGGGACAATCTAACTTGGAAACATGCCAAGTCCTCACATACATTCACTTTCCACACACACACGCGCAGCCTTCATTCATATTTCTTATTTAATAGTAACGTATTTTTTGATGTGTAGTAGACCCTCGCCAATTACGGATTTCCCATCTACAGATTCCAGGTATCCACAGTTTTTACTCAGAATACCATTTCACCAACCATGGCATTGAATTTCGAGTATAGCATGCCCTTCAAATTTTGTGGGGGTTAGGTTCTCAAAATGGCCGTGAATAGCCAAATCCGCGAATAACATTTGCTAACCAGGGGTGAGGGGGGGGGGGGGCATTTTTACTTGTGTACAAAGAAATGTACACAGATCAGGTTAGTAACGTGACCCAATAATCTCCCACCCAACCTTCATCACAAGTGTAAGACATGATTAGCTATGTATTACAGTCAATTGAGTGAAGTATCTGCCTTAGGCTAAAGGTGACAGGATCTGCTAGTACAATATATACAGTGCACAAGAACACTTGCCAACAGTGCGTAACAGAGAGTGACCGATCGTCCAAGTTACTAACAAGCCGATCAGTGGTGAAGAGGATACAAGTAACACAGCGTTTTACACGCCCATATCATATAGAGACTTTGTTTTTTAAAATATATTTATTTAACAAAGCTTTTAGATGAAGTATTCAGGATTATTTTGATAAAAAAAATGGTGTGTAATGAAATTGAAACCGATTTTAATGACTTCGATATCAACATTTCTTACCCTTTTTTATATATAAAAGAATGGAATTCCCATCACTATATCATATAGAAACATTTTGTTTAAGGATATCTGATTGGAAACGTTTTGTAGAGAATTTAATAAGGATCATTATGGTATCAAATTCATCTCCCTATCACAATTAGCTGCTTGGAGCAGAAGGGGGGGGGGGGTTTAATCACATCTCAACCCCCCCTGAAAAAGGTACATGCTTCTGTCAACACATCCCAACACCACCTACACACATCGCTCATACACCCTACATCACACACAAACACACACACTCCAAACAACCACCCACACAAACCCTCCAACAACCACACACACACACCCAACAAACACACACAGTCAATAGCCACACACACACACACACATATACACAACACACACACACACACCCTCCGACACCCTCCAACAACCACACACACACACACACACACACACACACACACACACAACCACCCACACACCTACAACAACCACATACACACACACCCTCCAACAACCACACACACACACTCCAACAACCACACACACACACCCCCAACAACCACACACACACACACACACACCCCCAACAACACACACACACACACACACACACACACACACACACACACACACACACACACACACACACACAAACAACCACACACACACACACACACCACCCACACAACCACAACAACCTCCCAACCACACCCCACACCACCCTCAACACACACACACCACACACACACCACACACCATAACAACCACACACACCCCCAACAACCACCCACACACACACACACACCCCACACCACACACACACACACACACACACACACACACACACACACACACATCACACACCCCTGACACACACACCCACCCTCCAACAACCACACCAACACACCCTCCAACAACCACAAACACACACACACTCTCCAGCAACCACACACACACCCTCCAACAACCACACTCGCACACACACACACACACCCCACCTCCAACAACCACACACACACACCCTCCAACAACCACACACACCCCCCCAACAACCACACCCACATGCACACACACACACACACACACACACACACACACACACACACACACACACACACACACACACACACACACACACACACACACACATACACCCCAACACACTCACATACGCCCCAACACCATTCACACACACCCAACATGGGAATTAAGACACATCTGCGTGTGTGTGTGTGGCTGCATGGTAGCGAGTTAAACATCAGTTCTTGAGGAGCACTTACCAACACTCATTTCCACTCCATCTCTCTATTTACCCACACCTTTCTACCTCTCTGCTTTTTCACTCCATATTTTAAAATGTTATGTAACGTAATGTTGAAGGGATACAACTTTGCTCATTTATACTTATATCTGTACGTACCACAATCTCTAAAAATACTTTAGCTTTCGTGTTTATTCAAGACATCTTCAGGTCATGAGACCCACAAATCCCCCAGCCAAGAAAGGGTGACCTGACATTCCATCAGAAAGTCAGTGATATGAGACCACTAATCCACCACCCTACCTCCACCTGACATTGAGTCAGGTCAGGTCCCACCCCCTCGCCAAAAAAAATAAAAAATTACTTTAACTTTCAACTTTATTCAAGACATTTTAAAAAAAATTCTCTCAATTTTCAACCTCGGAAAATTTGTTCCTAAAGCTGGAAATTTTTAGAAAATTCCGGCTTTGGGAATGATTTTCGAAGCTAATTTCAATTCCGGCTATCGGAGAGTAACGGGTTTGAGGGATTCCGGCTAACGGAGATATTATTATCCTTATTTTTATTATTATTACTTCTACTAATACTACTATTATACTGTGTTAACCGATATAAATTGTATATTATAGATTTATATTTAAAGTCTTAATATCCCATGTGTTTGTTTTGAAAAAATAATTAATATAATACATGTGCAGGGGGTCATCATTATATGTTCCAGAGAAGTGCAACTTATAGAGAAACATTTTATAATGAGGAATTTTTCACTGTAAGAATTTTTTAATCTTCATTTATTACTTCTCCACTTAAAAGTTTTTCCACTGAACTTACAATTGGATTTATAAATCATAGAGCTGCTATTCCAATCTATTGCAATGGATTGGAATAATAGCCATAAATAAGCTCAAATGTAGCTTCAGGGGAAAATTTTTTGAATCTTCATTTATTACTTCTACACCTAACTTTAACCTGGCATATGGACCCCGGACCTGATCCTGAATATTGTCATCAAGAAGATTATCCCTAATCACTGCCCTACCTCAACTCAGGAGACAGGTCATTACTTTTTTGCTTGCATTTATCCTTCACCATTGATCAGCTCGTTAGCCGCTTGGGCAATTGGTCACGTCTCTGTTATGCACTGTTGGCAAGTACTGGGCTTGCACTGGCTCCTGAATGTATCTGAACCTGCTCCAATGCTTGTCAAGTCTGTTCATTAAAGAGCTCACACTCGGTGCCACCACTACACTCTGGCAGATTGTTCCAAGAGTTCACAACTCTCACTCCGAAAAAGTTACCCTCACAGTTTTTTGGGCTTGCGGTTTCTTCAACCTTGAGCTGTGACCCCTTGTGGGGTGAGCGTCCGCCAGCTCCAGGTAAGGACACTCGACTGAGTAGTGCCCTTTGAGATGCTTATACACCTCAATTATGTCCCCCCTTGCCCGTCTGTAGTACAATAGAACATCGATATAACGCGAGATACGTTCCAAGAGAGGTCGCTTTAAACTGAATTCGCACTAAATCGAAGTGTTGTTTCAATAGAATAATTTAGTTTGGTACTTCAGAGAAACACAAAATGCTAAAAAGACTGACAGTCTACCCAGATGCACCTCAGCCCATCTTCTAGGATAAATAAAACATTGTTTTTTGTAGTATTACGTTAAAACAGACACTCGTAAATCAAAACGGCTAAAGTTAAGGGATGCGAAATGACCTGTTTACTGGCTGGGAAGATGGGGGGAGGGAGGGAGGTGAGGTGATATGCTTGACAGTTGATGCCAAGGTCTAGTGCTTATTTTCTGTCCTTAAGAGTGACTTTAAATTTTTCTCTTATAAAATGTCACTGAACTGACCTGGGAGAATAAAATTAACATTGCTGGAATTCTTATAAGATAGTGATTAGTTTTGAATATGTATGTGCTATAGTTCACATTAGACATGCAAATTTTAGTTCTAATTACAAATGGCTAAATTTTTTATCTTTTGTTCAAAATATATGACGTTTATATTCAAATTATTCGTTGTCTTACAAAGATTCTAGCAGTGCAAATCATATTCTCCTAACTTTAGTCTGTGATATTATATAAGATAAAAACTTATAGCCTTCTGTATAACCACCAAACCCTGCCTGGGAGGGGGTAAGGGGAGGTGACAGTGACATGTTTGACAGTTGGCGCTGAAGGTCTAGTGAGGTATTTATTTGTTTATTCGTGTCCTTTAGATTGAGTTTTTGTTTTTTGTTTATAAAATGTTACAGAAGTGACCGGGGAGAATATAATTTACATTGCTGGAATTCTTATAAGATGGTGATTAATTTGAATATAAACATGCTATAGTTTGGACTAGACAAAAATTTTAGTAATCATCTAGTACAGTACATTATTTTGAGTACATGTACAGTACAGCTTTGCCCTCAGGACTGTGTAGCGTGCCCAGAGAAACATTAGGTGCGAATTTTAAAATATGATGTGCCAGATTGAAAATGCAAAATAGGAAAGATTCGCTTTAAATTATAATACTGTATTGTCCTTAATTGTGGGTGTCGCTTTAAATCAATAATCTTAAATTGAATCTCTTTAAATCAACGTTCTACTGTATAAGCTAGGCAAGTTCAGGCGCTCCAATCTATCAGGGTAGCTGAGGTGCCGTAGTGCAGGGCACCAGTCTGGTGGCCCTCCTTTGAACATTTTCAATCAACTGACAATCCCTAGCATATCTCAGGGGCCAGACAGGGTGACAGTATTCCAGACAAGGAAGCACTTCACTTTTAAAGATCGTTACGAGGGACGGACCGTCTATATATCTGAACGACCTTCTTATAAAACCTAATAATTTAGTCGTCTGATTTACCTTCTTCTCGCAATGGCCCGAAAACTTCAGCTCATTGTCAACATACACACCTATGTCCTTTTCACATTCAGTCTCAATTAATGCAGTTTCTTTGTCCCATTGGGACATATGATACGCCTCCTTAGCAGCCATTTCTTCGGCCATTCTTTGAGCTCACGGAGATCCTAAAGCAGCTCCTCACAGTCTGCCTGGTTCGTAATTTCCAAAAATAATTTAGCGTCATCCGCAAACATTTGTATGGGGGAGTGTACAACATCAGGCATTTCATTTATGAAGCAAACAAACAACAGCGGGCCCAATACACTGCCCTGTGGTACCCTGCTTGTGATGGGTACACATGATGATTTCGTGCCATTAATCACCACACACTGCTTGCAGTCATGTAGAAAGTCTTCTATCCACGCTAGAACATTTCCCCGAATCCCATACCCTTCCAGTTTAATTTTCAGCCTCTCATGGGGTATGCTGTCAAAAGCCTTGGCAAAATCTAGCTATATATTGTTGATATTACCACCCCATTCCAGAATATGGGTCCAAATATCCAGTACTTTGAGTAATTGTGTTAAGCAGGAGTGGTCCGGCATAAAACCGTGTTGGCAATCCCTTACAAGGTTGTTTCGTAGTAGATGTTCCATCATGGCATCTCTTATAATGCTCTCAAGTACTTTACATACTATGCTGGTCAGGCTCACCTGTCTATAGTTGTTCGTGGAGTGACAATCGCCCTTCTTGAAGATAGGACTCACAAAAGCCTTTTTCCAATCACTGGGGACCTTTTGTTCATCCAGGCATTTACAGAACAGGATGTTTAGGGGCTGAGCAAGCTCGTTGCACAACTCTCTTAGCACTTTGGGATGCACCATGTCAGGTCTGGGACTCTTATGAACCTTTAGCTTTGACAGTTTATTTCTTATAACCTCTTCTGTGAACACAATGTGGGTCAGTGCTGTGTTGAACCGTCTGTCCTCAAACGCAGGTAGGTTAATCCCATCCTCTCTTTTGAACACCGAGGAAAAGAAGCTGTTCAATGCCTCAGCTTTGTCCTGGTCAGAATCTGCGTAGCTACCATCTTCAAGCCTCGGGTCTGATACTCCTACACGCATTTTTAATTTAGACTTTGCATAGTGGTAAAACGCCTTTGGGTTTGACTTGACCTCACTTGCAACCAGCCCTTAGAACTCCTTTTCAGCCCTTCTACACTCTGACTTTACTTGGTTCCTGGCTCTTGCTTACTTCCTCCTGTCCTGCTCATCGTTTGACCTAACCTGATTCCCATGTTCTATGTCTTTCTCCCTTACTTAGTTCTGTTAGTTGGCTGAAGAGGGTCCTTGTATAGCAACTCCCAATATTTCATCTTTTATTTCTCCAATGTGGGATTTTACTTCATTTACCAGTGTGACCATTACACTTTCGGAATATTACCTACAGTACATATTATCAGCTCACCTCGCAATGTAAGTTTTACATTTATTTATTACTGTATTATTTAGTTTATTATTACTGAATGTACATTTACAAATATTTTTGTTTGTATAATAATTATAAATAGAATATTTTATGTGGCAGCCAAAGCAATTTTTTGGAACCGCTCATTTATTCTAGATTCATTCTGAATTTAAAAAAAGCGAATTAAGCTGAAATCCGAATTAACGAGGGTACCGTGTATTGTATACTATAGCAGGTTTTTTTTTTTTTTTGGTGTATGCAAAATACAGAATGATAAAGGACTGAAACCGATTCCCATTTACTCCATAATTATTATATCTACCTTTGACAACGCAGTTTGCGAGGTTGAAGTGGATTTCGTGAATATATCCATTTCATTGCCAGAGGTATACTGTACCTGCATTGTATTTGATTTAGTGGAATTCTCAAAGAGTTGTGCATGCTTTAATCCCTTATATGGAATGATTACTGTACCAGTTTCACATGGAGTGCACACTTGGATTGCGAGTGTCAAATGATTTTATTCTTGTAAAAGTGACACTCTTACCCAAGAATGAATTTGTTTTACGCCTAATCATCATGATTGTTAATACGTATTAGTGTTTGAAATATAAAAATTTTTATTGCATGAATTTTATTTATTATTAATTTAAAACTTTATTTTGTCTCACCCGTAACACTCTTGACCACCTTTCACATGTATGACTTCATTTTCCAATTTGTCTTGATTTTAGCTTTTTATTTAACTATTCTGTTGAATACACACACACACACACACACACACACACACACACACACACACAGTTACCTATATGTACCTTATTTCTCTTTAATATTCCAATTCTCAGGTGGATGTACATCAAATGAATTCCACTGTTTGTCTGGAGAATGTGTCTCGTCAGGAGTTAAGTGTGATGGACACGGGGATTGCTACGATGGCTCTGATGAACATGAATGTGGTGTGTGTTATTACATTATTTATACTCTAAACATACAGTATATTTATTTTTTCTCTGATTTGTTAGTTTGTTTCCTTATTTATGTTAATTGTTAATACACTTATACAGGACTTAAGATAAGTAAGATACAAATTAGTTAACTTCTTTTCTGAGTTCACCAACTTCAGTAACTCACAACAAGGTCACTGCACCTGAATGCCAAACACTATTTATCATACCATCTTGTTTTCCTATCATGATTTATTTTTCTCTTATTTCTAATTTACACCTTCTTATATTTAACATTTAAACTTCGCAGCTACTAAATAGCTCCAAAATTTCTCTTTACATCCTCAGCTTTTCCTACCTTTGGTATGGATATGTCTCCATACATCTCTTAATCCACTCTTTGCTTCTTATTTTTGTTGTTTTGTGGTTCAGTTCAAATGTACTTGACATTCTATTTGCTGACATATCCACTCCCAAATATTAGAGACATTTTATGTGTTAGATGTAAGTATACTATACAGACACTCCCTGGTTTATGGATGGGTTTAGTTCGTGGAGGCTGTCCGTAAGCCGAATTATTTGTAAACCGGGAAGTGATCCTTCCATAGGTAATCATTGAACACACATAGAAAAATTAATGTATAGTACAATTACTATACAGGTATGGGACCATTTATCCAGTATACTTGGGACCTGGAGGTTGTCAGGTTACCAAATGAGGAGTTTTTCTGGAATTTGGAGCACCAGACCTAAAATGTACAGTTAACCCTCTGTAAATGGCTGTAAAGACTGTTCAGATCAATAGATTCAGCCCTTAAAGTAACTTTAACTGTACACTGTAACATTAAAACTTAAGATTGTAGGCATACAGGTGTCCCTTGTTTAATCATAGTGATGTGTTACTGAAAATCCTAACACTTGGAGAAATTATTGCTGAACGAGGAATAATATCTGTGGAGATGGTATGTTGCCATTGTTACATGTAATGAAGCTATACAAGTTATGTAATCATCATAACAACACTGTACTCTAATGTGGCTCAGAAAAAAGAAAATATAATATAAAACCATAAAATAAGAAAAAGGAAGAGCATGGGTGAGTGTGTGTGTGAAGTGAATGTTTGTGTGGACTTGGCATGTTACCAAGTTAGGCTGTAACTATAGCTACATTCCCCTCCCCCTACTAGGCTAAGCTGTGTTTTGTTAATTTTCAACTCTTAATTTCGATCGATATATGTAAAAAAAAAAATTATTACTGTTGCTTGCACACACAATCATTCACACAGAATGTGCAATAAAAATTTATTATCATAAGGTAAAAAATATAATGGGAATAAAATTTCTTACATGCATGGGAATTAGCATACAGAGTGGAGGAGGAGGAAGTGGTGTGGGGATCTCATCTGTTTGCTGTCTCATGTCCTGTCTGTTATGAAACTATTGTCAAATGGCAACACAGTATTTTTGCTTTTATTTATTATAATTATTTTTAGTTATTACTCACATTTATTGGAACAGTACAGAATACATTCAACACAGTTCAGCTGGACAGTCACCCAGCTGACTCAAGAGGAAACATATGTGGCTGCCTTTGTCAAATAGGAGAGAGGGAGTGTGCGGCTGGCCGCAGTTACTGCTCACTGCTTCAATACCTGAATTCACTTCCCACACACACACACCCGTTCTCTTTATTATTCTTATTTTGTACATAATTATATTTTATATTTTCTTTATTTCTAATACACATTAGAGTACAGGGGTATTTAAATGATTTATCCACAACTTTTATAGATTCCTTACATGTAGCAAAGGAAACATGCCATCTCACAGACCACCTCATCCCTGGTTTTTCCCCCATCATAGTGAGTCGAACATCGCTAAACCAGATTTTTACCAATCGTTAAACAAAAAAGGGTGTTAAAGATTTTATATCAGTAAACCAAAATGTCATTCAGTGAATTAACATTAAATGAGGGATACCTGTATGAACATCAATAACAAAAACATAAATATTATTAGTGAAAGCATGAAGAGAGCAAAATGATATAAGTTAATGTTCAAACTTACATCACAGTCACCCCTGATATTCGCCTTTGCAATGGTGCTGCGCCACAAACCCTCTGACCTCCACACACTCACTTTCTGTATGTATGTAATTGAGTAACTGAGTAAGAAAAAATGAAGATGATTACCTACATCTACCAGAAATTACGTGTTAAAAATACTTTATATCACATAGACTAATAATTACCAGTTGTTTATAATATCGAGTGTGCAGGTACCGGTAACTAAAAAAAAAAAAAATTACATGTACAATATCCACCCAAAATTATGAGTTTATAAGTAACCATAACATGACATAGAGCTCACAGGTAGAGTACGGTTTGAAATATACATGCTCGGCCCACGAATTACTTGGTGCTCATCTTAAATACAACTTAAGTGAGAGTATCCATAAAGTTGGAAGTCATCCATAACCCAGGGAGTGTATATGTATATATATATATATATATATATATATATATATATATATATATATATATATATATATATATATATATATATATATATATATATATATATATATATATATATATATATATATATATATATATATATATATATATATATATATATATATATATATATATAATTTTAAAGTCTTGATTATATATTTCATATTATATACTGTACACTGATTTTCCACAGACGGTTCTGCCAGAAATTGTTCAACATCTGAGTTCAGATGCAATGATGGTTCTTGTGTGCCTGAGACCGTACGTTGTAATCGGATAAAAGACTGCATTGATGGATCTGACGAGCATGATTGTCCTGGCAGTGTGTACCTTATTTATTTGTTTGCTTCTGAATTTTCCATTTTAATTCTTGCTGCAATTAATGTTTTCTGATGGAGAGTATGCACATAATCTCTTAATATGTTGACTAAGTTTATCCAAGGATGTCAGCCTCATCATATTTGACCAAAGTGGTTAAACTACAATAGCAGTTTGTTTTTCCAACTCCTGTTTGTATATTGTACTCACTTTTGAAATAAAAGAATTTCTTATGGATGTGGATGTTGACATGCAAGGCTGAAAGATCACTAGACCACAATGGTATCCCATAGAAGAGTCATTCTCTGCTTTGACTGATCACAGAAAATGTGATAGTAGTCTTTCACTCCCTTTGCTATTCAGCCCTAAGTATGAGCTATGTTATTGTAGGTTTCACTGTCACCTCTCTAAAATTTGTGGCTTTTTTTTATTCCTGCCACCTTTATAAACCCAATAAGTTTAGAACACCCCCCCCCCCTTACTTTACATTGCAATTAGGTGTAAAATTTGGAGCAGCCATGTAGTTAGTAATATTTTTGGAGGTAAATAGTATACAGGTATTAACAGATATATTTAATTTCTTTTAAGCTACCAGCAAGTAGGATTAGTATTCTACCAGTTTGTGGAGAATAATCCTCAATACTGTACAGTATACATAATATACCTCGGCAGTGATTTTGGAAATAGTGTTCCACTCACAATTGACGAACCAGCTTTCCAGGATATCTAAGAGGCTAGGACTCGAGACTGGTTTAAATTCTGTTTTGGAAATTTCCAGGTTTAAATTGGTCAGAAGCAATTATAGATACATCATTTACTAGGAGGGGTGAAGTTTTAAGTCTTGAGGCTTCAGTGGTTAATTGTAGAGTAAATTTACAAATTTTGAAGGATTTTTTTAAATAGTATTTCCACATACAATATTAAGTTACTTACTGAAATTGTCAATGTTTTCACACGATTTTTATTCTCAACTAATTTTCAGTCATATCCACCAACTTTCAGTGGCAACAGAGAAATTCTCAATACGTACAGGGTATTAAGAAAACTTTCAGCGTACTATACTCGTATGTTCTTTGCACTAAGTTGATTCTCAAGATCCTATTGCTCATTTATTTTCTGATTATTGATATGATATGAGAATTATTAACTTGGAATATTGTTTTATGAGGTCATTTATAGATAATAGAATAGAAAGAGGAGAAAAATGTTTTTTAAGTTTTCAACTGTGGATCAGGTCACAGATATAAAGATCATGGGATTTATACTTATTTTAATGGGGCAGAGCAGCCCATTCCTTACCTCAGGTATTGGAACTGCCATATACTTTTTGTAGACTTCTTGAATGACAACATCCATATGATTTGAAAACTCTTCTACAGTATTTTAGAATAAAGGGTCCAGTATGTTTAAGAAATATAATTCACTATTGTAGTCTAGTCAATATGTTCACACCTGATGTAGTGGTCACCATGGACATGCGTGCCTTTGATCATTAGATGAGACTTGATGATCAATCCCTCTTTTCCTCTATTAAATCTTTTTGATCTTTGTAGTGTGAAGTAGATTACATATTACTCATATTTACATGCAGTTTTGCATTGGGTCTTTTTTAAAATAACTCCTTAATGCTTTGTTATCACTACTTACCTTTTGAAATAATATTGAGTGCTATCTTAAAGCCCATTTTTGGTATTTGTAATTCTTGACATTTACTTTAGTGCAATCAGAAATTAGTCACTTCTGATCATCAATTAATAAAAGTTAATTGTAGAAAGTACATGTATGGCAATGTCAGTTATTTGGGCATTTTTTAACTAAAATATCATAAAGAGAATTTATGATGGCTGTTGATGTTACTTGATCATGCTGTTTGTTACTGATGTCTTAAGAAATTTACCTAAATGTGTCAAAGAGAACATTTTATATTGACATTAAAAGGTAATCAATAATGCTTGAAAAGGTGAAGCTAGAGAGATATTGCAGTGTTGTGTGCACTAACAACTCTATGAGGAATGTCTTTAACACTGCACTTGTAAAGCATGTATAACACAGGTAGAGTACTTTTTGAAAGATCTTCTAAGCCGACACAAGGGAAATTAAATCAGATTTCATCGTAATAAAAATTCTAAATATAAAACTAATACTATAAAGAACTTTTTCTTATTGTTGGAGTGATTTTGTTTTATTCAGAAATACATTATTCATTGTGCCAATGTTATTCTTGATAATATTGCTATACTATATGTCTAATCAATATGTTATTTGATTCTAATATGCCTGCCACATGAATATGATGGTGCTGAGGTATCTTACTCTCTCATAGGGAGTTAATATATATATATATATATATATATATATATATATATATATATATATATATATATATATATATATATATATATATATATATATATATATATATATATATATATATATATATATATATATATACACACACATAGACTTCAATATACAAACAAACAAACAATACCTCACTAGTCAGGAATCTAACCCGGGACCTCTATATGTGAACAGGGAGCGCTACCACGGCATCACAAAAGGCAACAAAAACTATCCTAGGCATTGTTGGATTTCACACAAAGCCTGCTCCTTTGTATTATTCTTAAGCAATGAGCCTCCTCCGGGAATAGCCCATGTCAACTATGTGGTTGTAGTAGCATTTTACAGACTAGCTAGAAATCATGAGGCTACCAATACATCTCAATATACAAACAATACCTCACTAGTCAGAAATTGAACTCGGGACCTTTGCCTGTGACCAAGGAGTGCTACCATGGCACCACAAGCTCTAACCCCAGATTCGTCTGTGCCGGAGCAAGTTGCCTCTTGGTTGTCTCGTGGCCAAAGTAAAGTTTTTTCTTTTTTCTTTTTATGGGGATTAGCCCACCTCGACATAGGTCACTAACCCACACTAGGGCCTGGGGGACGAAAAAAATATTTTGAATTATAAATACAGAAATGAAGATGGGAAGATATTGGAAGCATAATATGTTGTCTAATGGTAGACCCTGCTGCCATATGGCATCACAAGTATTGTGACCAAGTCCCAGGTTGCTGATTTACAATTGAGACCCTGTAAATCAGCAACCTGGGACTTGGTCACAATACTTGTGATGCCATATGGCAGCTGGGTCTACCATTAGACAACATATTATGCTTCCAATATCTTCCCAGGCGGTAATACCTCCCTGTTTAATAGCTGCCTACTACCTACCTACTGTATTTGGGTTTCTTCCAAATACAGTATCCTTTACCCATAGATCTTGACTCAAAAATTCTTTCACCTCAGTTGTTTGATAAGAGAATCTAACTGCTCTGTTATAGCACATTCTTCTAAAAAGTCATTTTAGACAATTACATTCCCTTCTTGAATGTGGAGTTATTCTCATCTATGCACTTCTTGAGCTCATAGCTCTCCAAACCTTCAGTTGTCTTTCCATATTTTCTAAAACACATTGCTTAATACTCAAGTGAAAATTTTTCACTGTGGTAATGGGGAATCACTGAATGATTGTATTTTTTTATTTGAGAAATGCTTACTGGCCTGAATGCCCTTGATTGGTTTGAAGTCTTGCAGGTCACTTTTCAAATGACCCATAGGCCAGAAAGCAAAGGGTTGAATATAAAAATGTGTTTTGCTGTTAAAGGGAGGTGATAAGTGAATTGGAGCTCTTCCTTCTCTTTTGTTTGTAAGGAAGTAAGTTTATAATTCAAGTTTATAAATGAGGGATGTAAGACAAGTGAACCAGCTCCAGGTTCATCCCAACTTACCTGTTAACTGGCTTTCACAGCAACCAGTGGATCATACTTAGAACTTACTTCATAAACCCTGGTTTGGTTGGGCAAGAGACTATTTATGCAACAATCATGTTGATTCAACAAGACAGAATCCATGCCTCTAGAATGTAGGATTGTAGGTACTTTACTCCCTAGACAGGGCAGCTTTTGCTTGGGAATGCTCTGTTGGTGAATTTTGCAGGTCATAAGTCGAGAGGCCATAATCCAAGCCTTTGTTTAACCACTGTATTAACCCTGTTGTTTAAGCATTTTATCGAAGGAATAACTATACTTTTCTTTTATTATTTTTTGTGAAAAAAAAAATGCCCATGGATATTTTCATCTGAAGTTACACTTATGATGACTTATTGCACCATTTTATATCACTCCAACATTGTGTGAAACTTTAAAAAAAATTTACCTTATTTTGTTTTTTTACTGTATAGTATATGCAGTACAGGGGGTATTAGTCTTTGATATACAGTATACACATTTCTATTTGAATTTGATTTTTCAAAATACCAAAGTATGACTTCTACATTATATAGAATTAATCATTGAATGTCTGAAATCATAATCTACATAATGTTTCATAATCATATTATAAATATTATCCCTTCTTTGCTGCTACAGGAGAATGTCAGTCATATGAGTTTAAATGCTTGGATGGTCAGTGTATATCACTGAATGTCCATTGTGATGGAAGAGTAGATTGTCGAGATGGATCTGATGAGGCTGGCTGCAATGAAGAAACTACCACACAACGCTCAGATTTCGAAAATTATAGTATGTTATTGTGTCAGTTATTGTGCTAAGCATTAATATAATTTTTTTTTGTGTTTCAGCTCATGCAAATGAGTATTGCTAATCAAACCAATTATATTGCATGCAGCTATAATTCTGGATGAGAAGGCCCCTGAAATATAGCACTATTCTGTATCTATCTCAGGGTGAAATAACTTGTACCACATCTCATTCTGCTGTAGAAGACCTTCCTAAGGCAAAAGCAAGTGCAAAATTACAAATAAGCATTTTTAGCTTGTGCCTCTATCCAGTTGACTTGTAATTAGAGAGTTCAATGTCTTGAATAACCCCAAACTACTCAGCCAAGATTATATGTTGGCTACAGCAGGTAAACCAGTCATACCTACCTCCCCATCGCACCATCAGCCCAAAATAGAGAACTGAAATGGATGACCTCTGGAAAGAGAAAGTTTGTTAGCCGCTGGGACAGGCCAATCTGCACATTGCACAAAGCTATGGGTCTGCCATTTTGTTTGGAATCACTTTGTCATATTTGATTAGTTTGTAGCCAAATGCCATTGAGAATGGATGTCCACAGACTGGCTCTCCCATGGATATCTTATTTTCACTAGGAATGACAGGTGTATGAGGTTGTGCGGCTTGTCTAGAAAATTACTGCAAGTAACTCAGGAGACTTGGGAGCTTCTAGTACATTCCCAACTCTGAATTGCCAACAAGAAAAATGGTTATCTTTTCTGGGGGATATGTCTGCTATGGCAGAACCCTTAGTCTAGCTGCTTCACACTAGGGTAAGCAGTGCTCCACAACCAGGAACAAGCTCGGGCCCAAAGCCAGAATGGGGCTAACCAGTTTTTTAGATGTTCTCCATAGCCAGTGCTGACCTAGGACTGGAAGTGCTAGAGCCTGAGTGAAGTTGGAGTTAGACTTATCAGAGCATTCCAAAGCCTGGAGCTGGCTCCTAGCTCTTCAGCCTTGAATTGGTCCTGAAAAAGAAGGCAGAGCCATAGCTTCAGTGCAGTGTAAAGATTGATCAGACCTGGATACAAACAGGCCATCTGTTTTCAAAGGACAACAGCTGTGTAAGTCCCTTCATTTTGGGTTAACTGTGTGAAAGGATGAGGGTTTTTCATTTTAGTTTAATATATTAACTCTTATTTTACAAGAATTCCACCTCACTCTGGTTTATGCCAAAAAAAGAGTTTTCGGTTTTCATACAGCCATTTATGAATTGTTCTTCATTGCACTTAAAATTGTGCTTTTCATTTTACAAAATTATTTCACCCTGTATTTTCTGGATACGTACCTAAGTTTTCTTTGGTTTCAGGAGCAACAGTATAATATGTCATACTTTCCTGCCACAAATTAGTGGACTTTTAACAATTAACACAAATTTTTCTCTTTTTCAGTATTTACTAATTGTTTTCAAATATTTATTAATACTGTATCTTAAAAGGCATGAAATAAATTAAATGTGGAAAATTTACTAATACTAATGTGTAGTTTAACACCCACAAGGTTGGTAATCCTATTAAGCTTATAGATTCATCTATAGGTACTTTTAGATATAACCTAGCTAAGGTTTAGGTATCTGCTTTAACCCTTTAGGGAGTCAATAAGATTTCACATTGGTCCCAAAAAAGTTTGAATTTCATTGTCCATCAAATAATGAGTTATTTATTTATTTATTTTTTACATTTGCCAAGATGACATGACCATGAAGTTTTTATATCTGACATTAAAATTGCTTGAAAATCATAAATTCAATCAAAATTATTATTTTTTTACCTAAAACCATGATTAAAAAAAAATTATATACTGTATATTTGTTTAAGTAATGGTTCAAAATATACTAAATAAGTACAAAAAGTATAAATACTGTACTTTGCTTAATATATGGCTGCATTACTGACAAATTCACTAATAATCTGTTTTCATACATAGAAATACAATATAATATACTGTGCATACTGTAGGTAATTTTGAATACGGAATTTTAAAAACAAATTGGCATGTTGATAATTTATGCAAAATGACTCATTATAGCAATTAAATATTTATCAAAGGATAGAAAACAATTAAATATGATGTAGTTTATTCATAATAGCACAAAAAATACAATATAATACAACCCCAAAATACTATGAAAAATTACAGTAAGTATTACAAATTGATAATGACACTTGTTGCCGACTAGTACTGTACTTATCAATAATAAGAACGATAATAGTAAAAAGATTATCATAAAAAACTCCACAGTTCATTATTTTGCTTTCAGACATAACAGGTGACAGCTGCATAGGCCTAGGCCTGATACACTTATCAATAATGTAATTTGCCTGTTTGTTATACAGATATTTGTGAGTATTATGTAATCATTCACAAATCATTTCAAGCTCCTAATTCTAGTATACAAATGATCTGAAATATGAAAAAGCAATCAGCTGATATGGCAACACAGTAGCAACAAACAAGTTGTGCAAACACACTCATATCTCTCTTCTATTTCATTATAATATTCGTACATCATTATACACTGCATTTATTCATGGCTCAGTTCTAATGTCACTATGTAGGTAACTTGCCTATGTCAGGGGTTGTGACAGGAAAAAACAAGCAGGACTCCCACTGCACCCATATCTATGAGATGCATATGGTGTCCTGGGATGTTTGTTTCCATAGTTGCCAACAACAACCACTATATGACAAGAACCTGACCACCTGATTCAAAACTCCAGATCTATACTCAAATAAGATTCCTAGGTCAAATTTTTTTAGGCAGTTGTGGACTAAAGTCAAATGAAGTCCCTGGGGACAAAAACCTGCTGTTTGACTTGCCACATTAAGGCCCTAAAGGGTTAACACACTTTACCAAAATAAATATACTGTTGGTACCCCAATTGAATCCAACATGTTCTAAACAGGATGATTCTGCTCTCTCTCTCATCTGTTATATTTAACCATTGTTCAGAAGCTTTCTCCCATATGTATAAAGTTTACTCCAATTTTCTCTCTTTTTAACTAACAATAAATTTCTCTATGACAGTAAATTACCATTAAACTTTGCTTACAGTAAAGAATGACCATTGCCATCATGACCTGCCTGATGAAAATTGCTGTTTTTATGTGTACTCGTATGTAGATGCTAACAAAAACTTTTTGCATGCTATATTCATATTTATTCTAAGTCTTTCCTTTTGGGGAGACTTTATTTATTTATTTATTTTTTTTTTTATGAATCTTTCTTCTTTTCCATCTTTGTCCTTTCTGGCAGTTGAAGAGAATGTCCTTAGAATTTGGTGTGTATGTACAGTCCCCATAATTTCCATGTTTACTGGGGCTGGCCATGTTCTATGAACTGTGGCAGTGCCTCCCCTCCTTCCCCACACCCCCCTTATGTCACATCACCTTGCTATATCACAGTCTACCAGACACCTGATAGGAGCTAATAACGCTTTCATTAGTGCACTCTTTATGAACACTAAACATGCAAGAAATGTTTAGTCAGTGGTATTTGGGGTTCTGTTAAATTTTAATCCTTTGTCCGGCTAGTACAGAAGCTAGTTTTATTATACAATATAAAAAAGAAAAAGGCGCTATCACATTTTACAAAACTTGGCCAGCCCCTATAAATGCAGTTGTGAATGGCACTTTCCCTATATTTTTTCCTAAAAGTTAAAGTAAAATGCCTTTACTAGGCTCCTGCCATTTTCGTTCACATGAACATTAGAAGGCAGCACCATAGTCCGAATGTTTCATAAAACTTAATCTTATAATTGAATGATTAATAACCACCCCCAATTGTAAGACATAGGGTGGGTTTTGACCATATTACTTACCAAAAAAAAAAAAAAGATTGACCTCAATTCTATGCTGAACCATGAAGTTTAACCATGACTTTTACCCTTCACTGTTAATATTCATATTGTCCTATCTATAAATAGTGAAAGATCAACATTTTTAAAAAATAAGCTTTCACTGTCAAGAGAATTTGTTTATAGACGAGTAAGCACACTACGTACAGTACAGTATCAATATTTTTCATCGTAGGATGGTTATAATCTGGGCTATGACCATCAGTTTTGGTTCATAATACTGCTAAAAAGTTAAATTATAATTGAAGATCAACATTTTATGAGAAATAAATACTAGGTACATCCATACATTCCAGTTTCCCAGGGTATGTGAAACCATGAGAGAAAAATACACAATGAAATCAATTCACAGTTCATACACATTAATACATATGAAGACCCTGAAGGACTAAGAAAAACTTCATATGCATATTTGCATATGAAGACCCCAATAGTGTTGAGTCCCTGTGCTTTTTATTAGTTTAAAAAGAATTACATTCTCCCTTTTTGGTGTAACTTTATTTCAAGGATATTTATCTTGGGAGAACAGTACAAAGGTAATGGATAACCTAATTTTGAAGATAGGAAGAAAATGTGAAGACCAAGGAGTTTGAAGGATGTGGAAAAGGCTGTACTTGAAGTGAGGGGGGTGTGCATCCAGGAACAAGTGAAGTATTTAAATGACTTGAGACCATGGCTCCAAGTGATATTTGGACATGGATATTCTCCTCTTAGATGATGGTGTGTTGTGTGGAGTGACAGGAATAGGCCTTAGCCAGATAGATGTTTCAAGCAGAAAGTACCATAGCAGAACACACATATTTACTCAATAAAAATTATACAATGACAGAAAATGAAAGGAAAGTCAATGGTTACATGATTGCTCAATTCCAGCCACTTTTCATTATACTGTAGCTGGAAAATATATGAAAGTGAAAAGATAAATTTATAGATTTTAAGAGTGAATGTAAGAATAATATTGTACATACAGGAATTCATTTGCTTATTCTGTAGATGAAGAATGGATGCTTAAGAAGGGGAAGGGACTGGATGCAGTAAGTGTTTTACAGGTCATCTTTTCATTATTATCATCTCTGTGCTTTGATTATATATTTCAGATTCATTTTGGTGTTCAGATGGAGTACGTATTGATAGTTCACTCGTTTGTAATGGCAACAAAGATTGCAGTGATGGCAGTGATGAGGCTGAATGTAATTACGGTAAGTTAGTGAATACTTTCACAGTGAGGGAAACTTAAGTTCGGGAAAATAGAAAGGCTGATGCATCAAAATAAAAATAAATTTTCTTCTGAAAATTTATTTTGGCCAAATTAAATTCGGAAGAGAAATGAAAGTACTGCACTACAAGTAAATTATAAAAAGCAAATTTAGCACTGGTAGTATCCATTTTTTTATTTTCACATTAGTACTGTACACAATGATTTTGGTTCATTATAGGAATTTGAATTTTGTCTGAAGTCTACAAAATTCATTATTAAAGGTTGCAGCCTTAAGCACATTGATAATTCTTTATGGTCTTTAAAGTACAAAACATAATGCTCAGTGAAGGATGCACAAGATAAACTTAATTACTGTATTTGCATATTTTAAGATTGAAAATACACAGTACAAATAATTACTAACCAAATAAAGGACTGTGGATGCCATGTGAGATGCTGCTGCAGAGAAGAGTTGAGGAGGTTTGAGGGAGGGGTAGTAGGGGTGTATTTCTTCCTTTGTGATTCATCAATATCCTTAGGTAGGGTTACCATTGGAGTAGTTCTTCTCAAATACAGCTCCCTGTAACAATTGAATGCATCTTCAATCAATCTCTTTACTTTGAAGCCGTGGTTATTTTTGGTAATATTACAGTGGTTGGTTTGTTTTTTTGTGAATTTGAATTGATTTTTGCACTCCACCCTCCACCACTTAGCGTGAACTCTTAACACACGAAGAAAGTTTATTTCCTTTTATGTTTTTTACTTTATGATAAGTTTTTTTATCACATTCTGTAAATAAATTTGTGTATATGTAACTGAGTAATAAAAAAATAGTTACATATGTCTATCTTAAATTACGAGTTCAACAATAACACCTCACAGCCTGGTAAGGTTAGCTTACCGTGAGCGTGTCCCAGGTAGCTAGTATTTGTTCACTATAAATACACAGTAAATTTAAAGTTCCACCACTGTAAAACTGTCTGCACTATCGGGGGCTCTGGACCAGTGATTGCCAGATATTTGGTGGTCAACCAGTTGTAATATTGCTGGGGCTGTCTGAAACAGGCTTTAATAATGCATTCATAAGAACATTGAACAAAGTGGGACTAAGTAGTCCATCTTGGGGGTGCCAAGTTGCATATCATTGACTTCACTTTTGTAACCATGAAACAGTACAGCATCCCTTCTGTTGGCGAGGTAACCACTTATCCAATGTAATAGCCGATCTTCCATATTCATTTTGGTTAGCTCATACAATATAAGTTGCCTAATGGTGGTCACTCACTTCAACCCTTGGCAATAAAATGAAATGTCATATCTGTCCTGTACTTCAAACCTTCATTTATGGCACAACAGACATGTCACTTTAGTGGTTGTCCTCACTTTATTAGATAGCACTATAAAGCCAACTGTGTTGACCCAAGTAATGGAGCAAATATTGTGACTTTGTTATGCTAAAGGCAAAATTTAATTTTACACATATTGTTTGTGTGCATCCTGTACTGTATTGTAATAGATCCTTTATTATTTTTCAGGAACAGACTATCTCAGCTTGAAAACCTACCCCGATAACCAGAACATCCAGCAGAGTAAGTCTCCGTACTTTGGTACTGATCCCTACACCCTGTCTTCTCCAATCCCCATTCCGTCCTCAGAGGTTCCCATATTAATATCTGTGTCTCCCTACCGTTTTCCACTAACAGCTCTTTTGGCAGTAGTACTGGCTTTCCTTCTGCCCACTCACTAATAGCTAGGGGCTAGAAGACAGTTCTTAATTAATTTCTGACAATCTTGCTACACTGTACTCAAAGTAAAATCTTACCAAAGAAGATATAGGTTAACTTGTTTTCTCAGTATCTTGTTGACAGATACATTTCTTCAACATTACCATTAAGCCAAAGAAAACTGAAACTCTAAAAATGTTATATTTAGTGTTTTTTAATTGAGATGATATGTAAATACAATACCACAGTAATCATTTCTATGAATTATCCCGTTAATCAAATTCCTTCTAATATATTTATTCAAATTCTTTTCAAGTGACTAGTCTGAAATTAAAGTATTTGTATTAAAACATTTATCACTCTAAAATCATAGGAAACATTATTTTGTCATCATTTAGGATCCATCTGAATTCATGTCATATTGTTACAAACAAGATCTTTCTAATCTATCTCTCCTGTTTAATATGGTAACCAAAATTGTCCAGAATAAATTTATTCCCTAATTGTTGTACTGTACTCTTTACTTGTGCCTAAACTCAGGAATGATGTGTGTGTTAGAGCTTTTGTCATATCATATTTAACACTTCAAAGGCAGATCAAAGATTTCAGTTAGGAGGCACGATTGTTTAAAATTTCATGAGCCGAAGGCTCTAGGTATTGAATAAGGCTCAGGGTCTGGGGAAAATTTAAGAACCCTGTTAGCCAGAGGGTATAAGGAAGTTTGAGAGTGCAAAAGAGACAATAACAAATCTTGAGATATACAACAAATAAAATTTAAGCAAGAAAATGGGGGTGAGGAAGAGGTGTGCCCTACATATCCCCATCAAATTCACCTCTGCTATTGATGCTTAACTTGGTGTTTGTAGTAGATGATGATTACATGTTAGAGGCCAGCAGTGTAAGATACAACATATTAAGCTTGTTTGGAAAGTTTTTTTTTTCCAGAATAGATAAGATTTGATGAATTTACCAGAATGCACAACTATTTCAGGATAGTTTGACCATACATGTACAGTATTGAGAAAGTAATTTCTCTGTGTATAACTTTTTATTCTTCTTAAGCAGCCTACTACTCGAGACCCCAAGCTTACTAAAAATACCCTTGCCAGTTTATAATAATAATGTCACATTTCATCTTATATTTTACCCTGAATCATAAATAGTAGTTTAGAGAATTTGTAGCTCTTTACAGTATGAAAAGCTTTGGATCAATAGAAAGGCTTCAAATAAATATTTTTTTAAGATTTATGGTGGTAGTTCAAGGTACTTTTAAAGTCATAATCGAAAATTCCTTTTCACCCCATAGTAAAAGGGAAATACAGTAGACGATCATTTTACCATGCTTGAGGGGAGGTTCACTTGCATGGTTTAGCCACAAGCACAGTTGGGGTCCCCCGAGGCCCCCAGGAGGGGCCACATCTCTATAATTGTATCCTTGCTTGTTTAGTGGTTAACTATAATACCTATCAAGCATATACAGGTACCTCAATAAATGTCTGTCTGTCAAGGGTGTGGAGTGATGGTGTTAAAGTCTTGGCTGGCTAAGCTCATGAGCTCTGTGGCTGGGTTGCATGTGCCCAATTACCCTGCATACAAATATTTATGGCACTTGGTATTTTGGTATTTATAATAAATACAGGCATATATTTTTTCACGCTTGTATGTTTTAAAATACCCAAATTCAGCAGCTGCATCAAATGCCATAAATATTTATGTATAAGTAAAGAAAATTTTGCCAATCACCGTCCATGTGGCTGGCAGGCCGCCCGCTGCAGAGTTACCACATTTTTTTATTTAACTTACAGTCTATCTATTTACCAAATAACTCAATAAAATAGTGTGATTAAAAATTTAAAACTTAATAGATGATAAAAATTATATTTGTGCGGCTAATATTAATTTGCCAAGCCATCCTATATAAAGCAATCTATTACCATACATTAAAGTGTGTGCGGTTGGGTACTGAACAGCTGACTCAATCTCCATGTAGTCGTGTGTGTGACAGTGGCGCATGGAAAAGAGGTGGTCAAACTCACAAACTCTTGGCCGAATCTAGGAATTACTGTATGGATGCATATTGAATTAAATTATCATCCATCTTTCACATTGGTTCAGCATGTTTAGTTTAGGGGTGTTAGTGGTACAGCAGTAATGCGCGTAGCTCTCACCAATATGTTAAGGGTTCGATCCTCGACCTGGACACAGGTGAGAAGGGTGTTATCCAATGTGAACCTATCAAACATCACAGGTTTCCCAATTCCAAAAAGTCGATGAATATTACGTATAGGAATATATTCTGACATAGATTAAGGTGAATGAATTACTGTATAGGAGTGTAATATGAAATATATTAAGATACTGTACAAAACCACGTTTTGGGTGCATAGCCCGGGAGAGGAAGTGGCGGGTGGAATTTGGATAAAAGAAAATGAACTAGATTAAATAAAGTTTATGACATTGGATTTATCATAAAAGTGAAGATGTTCTGCATACAGTGGCTAAGCATGATTGAGGGAGGTTGTTGGGTGTTAATGGGTCAGTATTGCAGGAACCAAATTTTACCAGGGAGTGCTGGTACCATTTAGTGGCAAAACTCAAGATCCTACTGAATGTAATCCTACACTGCCAGATGAACTTGAGTATCTTATATCTGCATACGACATTAGACAGGGGGAGACAGTGTGCGGTCATTACCATCGCTTCCATCCCTTGCCCGCCAATTCCTGCATGCATGGCGGTGGGAAAATTTAAAATGAATTACAGTATAGTCCAAATGCGGTTAAAGTGTGTTTGATGTGGTTAAATAGTAGTATCGGTTTCAATTAAAGCACGGTAGAGCCCTGGCTCGGATAAGCAATCGCCTGTAAAATGATCGACTACTGTGCATCTAAGAACATTGCTTTGATCTTTTAGTTACCTGTCCAGCACTAACATCCATCTCAGTGACCTAGATAGCCTCACACATACAGCATTTCTGAGTGTTTAAGTAGTTTTAAGGTTATTGTGAAAATATGATGTTTAGGGCATGAATGTTACAGAAAAATTGTCAAATTATATGATTGTGTTATATTTCATGTTCTAGTCGTGTTAGAGCGTATGTACCAGCTTGTTAATAAATTTCTTAAATTGAGCTTGTGTATCATGAAGTGAGAACCTTAAACATCATATTTCTCAAGAGTGAATTGATGAGTCTGTTCTATTTAATGCTTTCAATAGTTCCTGAAGGTAAGACAATAAAAGATAAATTTCTGTGTTTAGCATGCAAGTTATAGTTCTTTCATGCCTTGTATATACAGTACACTTGATAATACACTACTGTCTATGTTTTATATTTTTGCTTTTGTCAGATTTTTAAATTGTGTTATTTTTGTTTTAATTTTGGGCATATACTTACTTTAGTGAGAAAACTGTAAAGGAAATTAATTTTAAATTGTATAAATAAATGAGTTACATACATAAATATTTAGTATATGTTATTTATATAAATGTTTGGGTTATTCCTAAAAGTTAGGAAGAAATTATTTGTCAGTGAAGCTCTTGTATTAACTGTAATGTTTTTTTTTGCATTAACCATTTCTTATTGCTGCCAGTCATTCATTCATCTGTGCTCATAACACCATTAACATTACCATTATCCTCTGTTAAATATATTTATGGAGTGGTGGTGTATTAGCCCCTGTCTAACAGACATTAATACTTATATACAATAAATGTGGACTACATGCTTAATGTTTATCTAATTATTAGTTTGTTAGACAGGGGCTAATACAGTAGCATTTTAAAGGTGTCATCCATTGTCCACTTCTCTAATAAGCCTTCTCTGAGCTATATTTGCCACATGTTTTTAAAGCCTAGCAATTTTGTATTTATTTTTTATAGTTCTTACTTGAATCTAGCATTATCTAACTTTTGCACTCCATCATTCTTACTCTCTCTGAGGCACTACATGATAATTTCATTTCTCTCACCACCATTCTTGTTTAATAGATGATTTGTCAAATATGCACTAGTCTTCCTGGGTTCCAACCTCACCTAACCAAAGGATTAGGAGCCTATTTATAAAGGACTTAATAGTACTAATAGTCTCTAATCCTTTTGGTTAAGGAAAGTGAGGCTTTTTGACTTGTAACAATCTAATACTATCATACTTCTCATAACAGATGAGATACATCCTTGAGACCGGTTCGCGAAGCAAAATATCCTTTAAAAGAGGCCATTATAACATGGTGCTTATGGAGATGGGTTCTTGCTACAAATGAAATTTGTCAAAATGATAAATAAATGCTTTTAAATGCTACTATTTTCTTGCAGAATGACTAAATAATGATTAATTGTGCCAAAATAGGTCTTAAACGTTAGAAAAAAGTTGGTTACTTAGAAATACGTACACGTAATTTGCCGCCGTCGTCTTCATACGAAAGTAAACATTAAATGACAAACAAACAGCTCCAGCACAACAATAATAAAACAACAAAATTGCCTGTCGCAAGGTGACAGTACTTAACTTTTTCATTCAGATGAAGACTTTGTTAACAGTGGAGGAAGCCAAGCCAAGCGACCAATCAATATCAACTTGACGCTCTCCTACCTGAACCCTTTTTATCACTTTCATTTTCACATCCATTGTAATGACTTGCCTAGTCACCTTCGCTGGTTTACCAACACACTCACTTGCAGGCCATTTCCCAGACATAATGGGCATAAAATGTTCACAAAGCACATGTCGATAGCAAAAATATGATGCGATTACTGTATACACTTTGAAACAATCGGTGAATGGCTTAAATGATGCAAACAATAAAGATGACGGCGGACTTTTTTGTTGGTTCTGTTTCACTAATGTTGGATTTTTTCTCAAATGGATCTATTATACAGTATTTATTAAATTTAAATATTGTTCATGACCGTTAAACAAAAATTCGTTAACCAAGACTTGGTTAAAAGAGGTATGATAGTACAGGCTTTTTTATTTTTGTTATTCATACTTTTAAGGAGTACAGTAGCTTGTTTTAGTTTTCTTTGAGATGATTATTTTTAAGCTTTTTTTGTTTAATTTGTCAACATGTTATTTTTCTTATCTTCATTATTCACAATTTCTGGAGATTCAGATTTTCTCTTGTTTTGGAAAATGCAAATCTAGGTTTAAAAAAAGATACAGACTGTACTGTAATATGATGATTTTTATGTGTGTAATGGAAATGAATCAACAAAATGCAATACTTTTGTTTACTCGTGTGTGTGTGTGTGTGTGTGTGTGTGTGTGTGTGCGTGCTTGTGTGTGAGAGACTTTGAGTAGAATTATGTGTGTAATATTTTTAGTTTTTGGCTTTAAATATGATTTTTATAAAAAATAAAATAATTATATATATATATCATAAACATAAAAGACTTGAAGACATACCAATAACTTTTCAAACTTGTGATTCTGTTGTCTTTAAGGTACTTTGAGAATTACATATGGAAGTATGTTAGTAGTAGATGATATCTAAAAGAAAATTTTAAAATTCACTCCAATTATCACCTGAATATTAATGTAAGTGTAATGAATGTGGCAGGCCGTGAAGTGGTGTTCCAGTGTCGTGATGAAGGTACAATAAGAGCACCTGTGCGCTGGGTAAGAGAGGGGAACCGTCCATGGCCTCCTGGAACTACTGACAATCGTGGTCGCCTCACTATGCCCAATATACAGGTAATTATTAAATTAAGAGGAATGACATTATTTTTATAATTGGATGAAGTGATAGGGATAAACTAAAGATTTATTTTGAGTGCTTGTTGTAGAATGGGAAATTCATAGTAGAACATGTCTGCTAATCCAACTGGAATCCTGGTAAATTAATAGCCATGAATAAGAGCACCTGTGTTATTCTTGATGCTAGTTATCGTGCCCCGAAAGAAAAATCATTATAATGTATCTTCATGTTGCAGGTAGAGCATACTGGCACATACTACTGTGAGGCCCAAGATGTACCACCTTCAACACCAGGGATAAGGAAATCTGTCTTCCTACAGGTTACCCCATGTAAGAATTTGTGTTGATTTTGTTCCAATTAGATTGAGTGTGTATGTTGTGCATAACATGTTATATAATATAAATAATATTTATTATTAAGTGTAGATATATGTTGTAATGAATAATCTCTGCTAAACTGGAGATTCTTGTGTTAGTATTTAATGATTATTCATCACAAATGTTTCTTGTTTATTAGTCAAGCATGACATTAGTGATTCCTTACTGTAAATCAAACATTAATTACCACTCTCTCCCTAACCATGCTGCACGGAATGTAGTAACTTTCCATGACCTAACCCAGCTTGAACAAGCCTTACCAGTGTTAGACTTTCCACCTAGTCGAACACTCTTCCATCATCGCCTTGTTCCTCCTCCTTCTGTGTATGACTCCTTGCAATATCCACAACTGCACCCTTCCCAAGTCACACCTGTTCATTCCTCAAAGAAATTCTTGAGGAATATACCAGAATCATCTCCTTCCCTTCCTTCTTTCCTTAAGTCTTGGTCACATACGCTACTTGTCAGTGAATCTCTGACATCACCCAAGGCATCCAAATCCAGAAAATTCCCAAACAGCAACCAAATACCAAGTTTTATGGAGTCTGATAAAAATATTGGCCTCTTTACATTTGTTTCTCAATATACAAAAGCTTCAGGTAGCTATGAGTTTCAGAACTATGTATTTGTAATTATTTAATTCCTTAAGACTAAAGTATTGCAAAATATATAATTTGCATTTTTTTGGCAGTTAAACTTACAAATGAAATTGCTAATTATCCTTTGTAATGATTTGGTTCATTATAGTTTTTGGCACATGAATTAGGAAGTGTAAGAAATTTATTTTACTGTCAGTACTCCAAATTATTGAATTACTGTATAGCCTATGGATCATTCCGAGTGACATTTCAGATTATGCCCCTCCCCTTGTAGAACATCCTCTGAAGCTACTTGTAATTTTTTCCCCAAAATCAAAATATCTTTGCAAAATCTACCACAAGAAAAAGATTGAATTATCCTGAAAAATTAAACTGTGAATATTGAATTAGCAATGGTTTAGTGTACTCAGTTTATAGTGTTAGATGTTTAGTTATTTAGAAATGTTGCAAAGACTGAACACAGTCCATTTCATGGCTAATAAAACAGAAGTTATTAGTGTTTATATCACATAAATAAATGGTTCCTGACTAGTATTATGAGAACTGTTAAGATGGTACATGCTGCTAGGTTTAAGAGCATTGTTTTAATATGCTACACTAAGACTTTAGATGACAGATAGTACACAAAGTTGTAGAAGAATAGGTTTATGGCAGAAATATCCATTCATGTTATATAATTAAGCTATAAATTTAAACTTATACAGAAAAATATGTTAGAAGTAGTTATAGCATTGACATTATAGTTAATGCATAATTACAGCCCTTCAAAAAAGTTTTCAAATGATTAATGAACACAGTTTATGAAACTTATTTACTGATGTGATTTCTATGACTGTTTTCTTTCTTTTATATTAGTTATCCTCATGCAAATTATAACTTCTTATATCATTTTATGTTTCTTGCTTCACCTGATGGCCCAATTGTGGTGAGTAAAAACATATAATTAAAGACCCAATGTTTATTTAGTATAGGATGTTCTCCAAAATTGGGATTAAATGAGTTATGAATAGAAAGATGTTCGTTTGGCTGTTTGGGCATTCCAAATATGAAAAAAAAGATTTAATGTACAGTAATTTTTTTATTAAGTTGTGTACTGTAGCCAGCAAACCAGTGTGACTGAAAAAGTGCTTCTTTATCTAAAGCACTGATATAGACAGAATACATCTATGATTCAAGTGTATTTCAATATCATTTATGAATATTGCCCATACTTAAAACTTTCCAAACCAAAAATAATATTTCACAATGATAGTTCATTCCCATTCAACTGCAGGCGTACCTCGCTAAATATCAGAAATGCACTCTTGAAAAGCGTGATGTTAAGTGAGACTATATATAACGGACATAATTTTACCATACACTTAATGATATAAAGAGGGAGACTTTTCTTGTTAAAACTTTCTTGCTAAATACCTAAAATATATTGTTATAAGTTAAAATGAATACAGTACTGTATATAATTATAAAATATATGTCAATAAGATAACACTTACACAAGGTGGTTGAGGAGACAACATATAGAGGCTGGTTGGGGTAGGAAATGGTGGAATTATTGAGACGAAATGGTAGGATTGCCTGCCTCTTCATCTGATGATGGACATTTAAATTTTGGTCCAGAGACTACGAGACACAATTTTTCTCCTGTTTTTACAGTTCCTTGTAACAGTTAAAAGTGTCACACTTTGAAAATTTTAATTAGTTTTGTCACTTTCTCACATATAGTTCTCACCAGTGTGGCGCCTATATTAGGCCAAGTACTCTAACTATGTCAACAAGGTATTCACCAGTCTTTAAGTACAGTACCTGAAAACATGTAATTTAACCTCTAGATTAATACATTTCCTTGGGTTTTTTCTTACCCTAAGCACAAATACCACTTGCTGGGCAATTTCTACTCACTTTATATGGTCTTGATATGGTTTTACTGTACCCACTTTAAATAAATACCCCAAGTAAATATAGTGGTGATGGGGAAACATAAAGGGATTTGGTTGTCATTTAGCATTCTAAGGCTACCTTAGGTAGTCCAATGCAGGTGCATTTGTATGTCGTAAGAAAATTTTGATAATTTTTTCTTTATTATTTTTCTCAAATTCGTCAACAACGTATTAGTGAAATGATATGTAGCAAGGCAACATATAGCGAGGTATACCTATATCATAATTGATATGGATCAGACCTTCTGTTACTGACCCATATTTTAACTAAGGCTTATGATTGTCTTTATATTATTAGATGATAACTTAGATGAATGCTTAGCTCAATATTTATTACCATTCAAACATGATTCTTGGCAAATCTTCAACTTTTTGCTTAATGATACTGATAGTGATGACATAGTGATAAGGTACAGGTAGTCTATTGTGATTATCCACATTTTAAATTTTTAGAAGTCTCCGCTTCCAGCCATTTTCACATGAGTAGTTTAGTTCGAACACACCCAGATTAGTTTCTTATTTTCCTGAGGGACTGAGACAGTTTGTTGTGGTAATTGATATATAAGTCAATCATTTATGGGAATCTTAAGTATTGTCAAAGGAGTTTAGAGTTGTTAGCAGCCATAGTTTATGATTACGATACTACCTCTTTACCTACAAGAGCTATTGAGACATATCTCATATCTTGTGTCAACCATTAAATTTTTTTTGCGCTCTTGAAATCCCATGGTATTACTGAGGAGTGATAAAACTGTCAATGTTTGAAATTGTTATTCATGATGCTAGCTTTCTATATATCCATATCTGATATGACATAGCTAGTATTGGTACTAGGGAGGCATGATTGCTAATTGGTGAAGCTGTAAATTTTGGTCAAGGAATTTTACTTTCAGTATTTTTACCAGAGTTATGCCTTCTTTTCTACTTGAGAATAATGTGACAAACCACAGATTTGGAACTATATCATCTTTCTCCTGAGCATTCATTATGGGCCTCTTGAATGGTTTATAACTTTTCCTCCTACTTGAGACCTTGGAAACTCCCTCAGCCTACAAAAAGGTCTCAAAAATATCCTATAACATCACATTATGTATCATTACCGTTCACAGTAAGAGTGCATTTCTCACTGGTATTCATAGTGGTGACAGGTGTCTACATTTGACATGATTATAGATACTGATCACTTGTAACTTTTTAACAATTCTCACACATACTCATACAAATTTGTTTGTATTGTAAGTGCTAATAATGACTTAAGATGTATCATCATAGCTCACAATGACCTCAAGTATCTCACAAATTCTCGTAATAGGACTGATGGTCCCATAGTTGTTTCTGAAGACAGGTAGATGCCCTTCATATATTATGATAATAGCCATTGCTTCACACGTGCTTTTAATATTACCATGCTGTATATCTCACTTATACTCATAATGATCCCAGGTGGCTCACAGGTGCTTATTTTATCTTCAGGTGTTACTCATGCTTATAACAGATATATCACAAGTGTTCATAGTGATACAAGTGATGTCCAAGTATTCTTAATGATCTCATGTGTCCTGCATGTGCTCATAATGATAACAAGTGCCTCACATTGTATTTTCAATTTTGGCACTTGTCTCATAAGTGATCATAGTGGTCCTTGCTTCTCAGTAGTGTTCTTATCATGCAGTATGTTTTACTGGAGCTCACACTGATCCTAGGTGACTCGCACATACTCAAAATAATGACCAGATATCTCACAGGTATTCACATTACCTCCAGGTATCACAGGTGATCATAGTGACCCCAAGTGATTGTAGTGATGCTAAATGATTGTCAAGTGCTCATACTGATTATAACTGACTCACAGATCTTTATAATGACTCAGGTGACTCACAAGTAATCATAATGGTCAAGTGACTTAAATCTTTATGATGACCCAGGTAACTCAGAGGTACTCATAATGATTCCAGCTTGATCAAAGCTACTCATTATGATACCAGATGATTCACACATGAGTGTTGTCCCATAGGGCAACAAGCTTTTTCTATTTGCAAATTTGCTTGGCTCTTAACCCATTGATGGCCAATTAATTTAACATAAGTCAAAGATTTTCCACTTTCTTTTTGTTGGCTAAAACAGCCCCAAAGAACCCTCAAAGTCACTTGGTAACAGTGAAAAGCACACCTATAAGCTCCTTGCCTAGTTTAAAAGTCCTAGGATGTCAGATGTTGTCATGCACGCAGTGTGGCTCGGGTGCCAGCAAGTCTGTTTCCGCATCCTTATGTTACTGTATTTACTTATCACACACACACTCGTCTATTTATAGCCTAGTCATATAAAATGAATTATTCTTCAGATCTGGACCCATAGGAGCCCTTAGCAAATCTTACGGACTCTTAGCTTAACATGACATAAACTACATCGGTGACCAATTTCCGTATGGCAAAGGATGACATAAATTACGTCAGTGACCATGAAGAGGTTAAGTCTCTGTCATACTGGTCTCAAACCTGTACAGGGACCATGTAGAAAATTTCTGGAAAATGTTACAGAAGTCAGCTTTATCCCTCTTTAGCCATAAAATTCAATTTCACAATTCAATCCATTAGATGTATATTGTATTTATGATATTGGTTTGATGTAAGATATGTTAAGGGATAACTGAATCTCCCTTTTATCTATGATTATTATATCTTTTGTGATCCCAACAGATGTGGTGGTGACCCCATCCCCTACACCAGCCTGTGGAATAAAGGAGGCAACATGTATGAATGGTCAGTGTGTCGATAAAGACAAGGTGTGTGATGGCGTCTTTGACTGCAGTGATGCTTCAGATGAAATGCGTTGCAGTAAGTTTCACACAAGAAGTTTTTAGAATGCAGTACAGTAATCCCGCAGTATTCATGGTTTCTGGATATGCAAATTTCTCTATCACAAATTAGTTTATGTTTATTAACCATTTGGAACCCTCAGCCCCTATTTTTCATGATTTTTCAAGGGGTTGAAATCAATGTATCGTTAAAGCAAAATTCATTTATTGTAACAGAACATTGAGGGCAAAACAATAACATCCCAAAAACCACTCTTAGATTTACAGCACTTAAAAATCAGAGAATGTTCAAAATTCATATATGCTTTAATTTACTGTATATTGGATTAAACCCCTACAACCCGGGCTAGGGGGCCGCTGGGCGTAATACCCCACGCGTGGTAAATCGAGAAGAATCAACTTTTCTGAAAATAATTTTTAACCTTTTTAAATGATAAAACAATAAAAAAGAAGTAAGAAAAAATATATATTGACCCTGTAGAAACTTTCCTGTGGCCACAGTGGCGAGGGAGTAAGGGGACAGTTATTTTGACGGCTAGCACTCGTGACCACTACGCACTAAGCGTCAATTTTCTGCTTGCCTTTGTGTCTGGGAGGGCCAGTAATACATACAGTATATTTACTAATCATAATACTTACTTCTCATAAATAATTTATAAAAAATGCTTCGCAACACACACACACACACACAGTAGGTCGCCAGGCTGTCTGGCTGTTTTTTTGTTTGGTAAAGCAAGTAATGTATAAAATAATTATCGGAATAATAATTCCACAAATAAATACATTTATAACATAATTATAACAATATTTTCCAGTAATATTACTCTACAATACAACTACACTACTTTTAGCAATATTACTTTGATATAACATGATAAAATGAACAAACAATGAAAATAAAACTAATAAAAGTAGGTACTTGCATTCAGGAAGCTTCCCTGTGGCCGAGCGTGTGGCTGACAGGCAAATAGTCATACTGGAACCTGATAACCCATGCTGGACATTCAAACAGTGGTGGGAAAAGGCGTGTGTTCTGGAACGTCACCCGGGGCATAATGTTTAAGACACATTATCACTATCCATCAAACCTCTGTGCCATGCTTATTAAGATGAATTTTATATTTTGACATTAACAAATTATTAAATACAGCATGCCCTGACAATTCGCGGATTTTTAATTCACGGACCTCGATTATTCGCACATGGCACCCTGGATGTACCCAAGAATGTCTAAGGGTAGTTTCAAAGTTCCTATCATTTTTGCAGCCAGGACAGGGTACCATTCGTTCTAATGACAGTGATTTATTTTACCTGTATTATATATACTGTATGTGTATGTAGTCACACACACACAAAATACATAAAAATAAATAATAATGGGAAAGTCCTCTCACAAATAATCAAATAAATGTATTAAAACTGTGAGTCTACCATGAAGTCAGTTTCGAGCTTTGTTATTAATAACAAAGCACAGAGTGGACTTGAGGGTAAACTCACACATTTTTAATACATTGTGAGAGGATTCTCCCATTATTATTTATTTGTATGAGCTTTGTGTGTGTGTGTGTGTGTCTACACACACGCACACACATATACAGGTAAAACAAAGAATTGTCCGAAGGGCAAACACATAAAGGAAATGTACATTTCTTTGTACAGAACTAAAAATGTACACCCCCCCTCTCTTTGATAAGCAAATGTTATTCGCGGCCATTTTGAGAACCTATCCCCAGCAAATTTGAAGAACATGCTGTATTAACCTTTATCCTGTGGCCCAGGAAAAATTGGTTATTTTGTATATGCTCAATAAAACCAGGCTTTATCAGATCTTAGAAAAATAGTTAATTTGTTTTTGCAATTGTAGACAAACAAGCAGAGGAACAGATTATAAAGAAAAAGTCTTTAATTACCTTATAACTCATCTGATGGATGTTTTTCTCCATCCGCAATTCTATTATAATTGTACAGTAACACGCAAAAATGGCCTGGAACCCTGCTGTTGCCATTTTCTAATCAAATTTTAGGCAAGCTTGCTGAATATTAGAATATGGAAAAAAAGTCATTACACGTACAGCCAACTCCCTCTAATCTAGACTAATTGGGGATGGGGGGACTGTTCTGTTTGGCTGAAATTCCAGGTTGGGTGGAGGTCTGTATTGCAGGGTGGAAAATTCCAGAGGGTGGGGGAATTCCAACTCAAGCTACCTAAGAGCACCGAACTTGCTATAATTAATAGCCTAGACTTAACACCCTTGGGGTTTTTATAAGCCATATGAATAGTTTTTTATCTGCTTAGGTTTTTAACATTGTGGGAAAAGAATCCTTGGTCTCACTTATGCTCTCAGTGGCCATTTGATTGGTCCCTGTCACCCAATCTTCATTGCTTTGTTATGATTCCTTCACCTGAAAGAAAAAAAAAGATATTATTATTTTTTCTATGGTTTGTGACCTACTGTATAAGGCACTCTAATGTGTTGTGATGTTTTCTTTGGAGATGAGTTCCCAGAATTTTTCACAAGGATCAGCTGTTCCCAACTAATCTTTTTAAGCTTTTTCCAGTACCGTACTGTCCTATTTCTTAACAGTACATCTACAGGGCCTAAACCATTATATTTCAGAGTTTGGAAAACTTTGCCTTAAGGTCTTACGATGTGCTGTATTGTTTTGGGATTATATGGTTCCCTGGTGAGAGCTTTTGGGATTCATTGTATATTTTGTATTCCACGTAGGTTCATCTTTTCCAGACAGAAATTGGACAACCCTTTTATTTGTTCATTTAAGATTTGAGGCACATGTCTTAGAATTACATCTTCAAATCAAGCCATATGCTATATTGTTATAAGATGATTTTTTCCCTTTTGTGACAGTGTTGAGAACTAAGTATTTCTTCAATTTATTGTGATGTATAAAGATTTTAATTAAGTGTCTTTCTTGTTGCAATGAGAATGTTTTATCTTAAAGTTTTCTGTTTCTTCAGATCCTTTGGGTTGTGAACCAAATGAATTCCAATGTGACAACAAACGATGTGTTCTGAAGACATGGTTATGTGATTCAGATGATGATTGTGGGGATGGTTCTGATGAGAGGGACTGTAATACAACTTCATCTGGTGAGTAAAAGACAATCTCCATGTAGATGAGTGATGACATTTCTTCTTCTATTTGTGTTATACAGTACTTAAAAATTTATTGTCAAACTACAAGTTTTATTAATTATTATTCCTACAATTAAAACTTGAAACTATATACAGCTACTTTGTGCTTTACGTGCATTTGATTTACTCATTTTTGGAAAACGCGATTGTTTAATTAATACCAAAGCCTAATTTATGCGCACCTAATTATTTAAATATTGTGCTCAAATTATTTGAAATTTGCCACATATTCACCTGGCAGCAGAGTTGCATGTGATGCCTGGTGAGGTGCTTGTACATATTACTATAGTGACATTCATATCAACATTAGCGATTTTAATATTATTAATAATACAGATCCACACTTCTTTCTCCGCAATTCCCAAATCCGAAAAACTCTGAAAACCTAAAGTTTTTTCATGGCGCATCACTTGTGTGCACGACATACCCAGAGTGACGCCGAAAACATACCCAGCTCCGCCGAAGCTTGACCCACGCAGGTGTGAAGCGTCAGTTGTGCCTCGGCAGCATATAACTTACATTGCTGGAATCCTTGCAAGACAGCGAATAATTTTAATATATACATCATATATTTTGCACAAGAGATATACGTATATTTTAGTCCTATAGTGTAGTACATTTATGTACACGTTTTTCAACTCGTATTTTTGGGTAAATATACGTAACTTTCTTCATTTATTTTTACTCGTTTACATGTACACATATTGTGAAAAAAGTAAACGAAATTATTGTCCTAAGGGCAAACCTATACTGTACTCAAATGTACCAAAGAATTACTCAAATTTTTATGTCTGGTGCAAACTATATCATGTTTATATTCAAATTAATCACTAACTTACAAGGATTCCAGCAATGTAAATTATATTCTGCCAAGGCAATTCATTGACATTTTATAAACTAAAAACTTAAACTCCCTCTATATGACTGATAAGAACGTCTGGTTCAGTAATCTCCCCGTCGGCTGGTCACTACCTCACGTCAGCCCTCCCACCCCTCCCACCCTCCTCCCTGCCCTCAACCACTGACTCCCCCATACTCGCTCCTCCGCCTCTGTAGCCTCCCTCCTCAACCCTCCCCTATGCCACCTTGGGCAAGCAGAAGTCGCCAGTCATCAACGTAAGTGTTATTTAAGATGTATTTCCTATTGTTTTCCTTTATTAACTGTTTTTCTTTATTAATGAGGAAGGTAAAAGAATGTTTATTGTGGCAGTTATATTATTTTTCCCCTAACCTGTACCATTTACATGTATTCTTATGGGAAAAATATGTTTAATTTACGCTTTTTTTAATTATGCGGTGATTTTCAAGAACGTAACCCCCAGTAAAATGAGAGGTGGGTGTATATAACTGCTGAACCCTCATGAATTTGATATTGGCAGGGCTGTTGGGCTTTTGAAATATCCTGAAATATTGAATTATCCTAACATAATGAAATTACTTCACAAAAGAAAAACACTACCCAAAACACACGGATAAAGATCAGCTTTTTTAAAATAAGTATAATGTTTTTTCTTCAATATACAGAGGCTAAACAATACAGAGGAAAAATCTCACCCTAGAATTTTATTGAATGTCTTTTCATGAGCATCACTAGCAGCTTATTAATTCAGCTTTCCAGTGATGGGTGGATTACTGGAATACTCTGTCCTTCCCATATGCCAAAAAGGGTGTGTGGTGGATATTACTGAGAGAATCATAGCAAAAACTTAATGCATATTAGGAGAAAATCATGGGCAGAGTATGTTTAGAAAAGGATAAGATGTATGGATCAAGCATTGTACAGTACTGTATATATACAAAGCCATACCATTTATCCGATATGCTTAGGAGTTCAATTGAGTGTGTATATATACAGTATATATATTTTAGGCATAGGATCAGAAATTCGATTCACCTCAGGTTTCAAACTTGGCAGTTAAATGGTCTGGTTCCTGTAGTAAACAACCAAAATGAGGCTTCATGTAATGATTGATCCTAGCTTTGGTCAGTGAGGAGTTTCTATTCTATTAGTTTACCTTGTTCAAAAAGAAAGTGTAGTAGTCTGCAATTAGAATATGCCAGAGCTGCATGGTAGGTGATATTTTAGTGGAGATACTTTGCATTTTATTCATTAATTCATTTTAGCTATAGAATGGAATTTCATGCTTCAATCCTTCATTTTTGGATTTTTACAGATTCACATTGCAGGTACAACGAATTTGCTTGTCATGATAGGAACCAATGTGTACTTAAGTCTTTCAATTGTGATGGAGAAGTTGATTGTCAAGATGGGACTGATGAATTGGGATGTGGTAAGCCCACAATTCTTCGGCCTCCTCCTCGCAACAAGATGGTGCAAGTTTATGAAACATTCACATTAACCTGTTTGGCAATTGGCACTCCCGTTCCTATTGTTGTATGGCGCCTTAACTGGGGACATGTTCCGGACAGATGTGAAATGACTAGGTGAGTACTGTTGATTTAATTTATTTATAATGTCAACATAAATAAGTCTTATGGAAATTAACATTATTGTTTCTTCCATTATTACAACTGAATTCTTGAAGTAACTAGGCTGATATTAGTATTCCAGAGTCTTTCTAGACAGGTGTTAAGGTATAAATGATAAATTAATCCCCAAATCCCATATTTTAATCAAGCCTGAATAGAAAACTTGGATCCTACTCACCTCCCTGGGGTCTTCTGTGAAGATTGGTGGGTAGTGAAGAGGTTCTGTATCCTGCTCTATAACTAGGTTTGAACAATGAAGAACAGATTGTGCATTCACTGTGTAATATTCATGGCTCATGAGCTCCCAATCTTTAGTAAATAAGCCTATCTTCATACCTGTTTTTGAGGAATGGGATTTGCAGGGAGATGGATTATTTGTATATTGTCCCACCAACTGTGAATTAGGGCTTCACTTGGTTCTTAACCTCCCAGCCCTCAGCAGGCATCCTGGAAAATCTTCAAAATTGTTACAAAGAATCCTGGATTGGTGGTCTATACCTGTTTTATCATTGTCTGTACTATCTATAATTCATTGATAAATTTATTAATAACGGTAACAAAAATAATGTATTTGTAGCACTGGCAACTCTATCCCTGCTATGCCAGTCATGACTTGACAGTGAGAGTAAACATTATTAAAGATGCTTCAATTGAATGCTTCCTAGTGCAATACATGGGATGTAGAATGTGCACACACACACACACACACTAATGAAGACTTAATCTCTGCAGCTTGTGTTTTTCGTTATCACGCACTCGGCGCGGTCCCAATTAGGCATGATAACCAAGGGATGACTGTGTGTGTGTATATATATATATATATATATATATATATATATATATATATATATATATATATATATATATATATATATATATATATATATATATATATATATATATATATATATATATATACACACACACACACACCGTATATATATTATTATATTTTATTTTGTTTTGTTTTTTGCTTTTTTTAGTGACAATGGCGAAGGCACACTAGTATGCCCAAGAGCTCAAGCTACAGACCAGGGTGCTTACTCATGTGAAGCTCTCAATAGCATGGGATCAGTATTTGCTCAGCCAGACTGCATTGTACAAGTAAAGGGTGGTTCACCTGTGTGCCAGCCACCACAGTTCAATGCAGCAGCTGTCACTTCACAGGACTGTCTCACCTGCTTCTGCTTTGGAGCCACTGACCAATGTCACTCTGCTGATAGGTTCATCACCCAGGTAAATATATTCAGTTTCATATTTAGTATAAGCTGTGTAGCAATCACCCAATTAATGACAGCAACACACATGTATACATAGGGTTGAATATCTTATGTTTTAATTGTTGATGGACTAGTGTAATTGTAAAGAACATCAAAAACTTAAAAATTCACTCAAGAAGAAATGATCAGATTACAACTCAAGTACTCTGAGGGGTCTGATCTAATAAAATTGTTCTCAGTGGCATAAAAGTAGATGACCCATAACCTCTGTTGAGTACGACTGAATGTGTGCTTACCGGGTATATGTAAGGCAACCAGTGTGATCTTGTTCAGTGTATTCTGAATCCCCACTGTTCCTAGTATTATTGTCGACACTGCCATTATATATATATGAGGTAATGAGGGAAATCATTTAAGTTATCTCTTAAAGAATAATATTATAAAAGCTTGTAGGGTAAATTTTTAGAAGTTGCCAAAACCTACTGTACATCGGGAGAAAGAGAAAAGGGCTAAAAGTAATTTATTATCTAGTGTTTTCATTGGAAATTAATATTTTCAGGTATTTTAACAGATACAATTACCAACAATATTACTTGGTCAAAGTGGGAAGGGCTTTGAAGTAGAGGGAAAATGTGGGGTAAAATACAAAAAAAAAAAATACCAAATAAACTTTTGAAAGCATGACATAAGGTTTCCTAACCTTTCAAAATCCTAAAACTATAAAAAGTTTATCTTATTCATATTTTCAGTGTTTAGTAGAGGTGGTGGTGTTGTTTTTGGTGCCTAGATGAGGAGGGATCCAAAAACTTGAAAGTGATTCTTAACATTTTTGCAAGTTATGAATTTAATTGAAACTGTCTATTTAGCCAGAAAAACACAGATACAGAGTGGATGATAATAACACTATTAACATAGGTGAGCCAGTTGAGAACCTGGGCTCTCTTTTAGACACCTGATATATACTACCATATACATTTATCTCAAGGAAGTATTATGTAACATTTAGTAACATCTGGAATAGTACAATAGCATGGTGGTAATAAGAACATCTCATAATATTACCACGGTTATCACTTCAATATTTATATATTTTTATTTATTTATTTTTTTTATTTTTTTTTATTTACATGTATATTATAAATATATACTGTACATAAATTACAGTGGAATTGAAAAACATAAGTATAATGGGGGAGCAGTACAACATGGGTTGTACAGTATTAAGGTTGAACAAGAGGACAGAGCTGTCAGGATTATATCTAGTTGGCAAGTTTATTGCAATGGAAATTTCTTATCTATTTACATGATAATTTCCGATAAAACGGTTTTGATGGTACAATAAAAGCAGGTACCAGGTACTGTAAATATAGTTGGTGTTACAAGGTTTGTTTGGTGGTCTTTTTAAGTACTGTATTGTATCCCACATTTTCCCTCTACTTCAAAGCCCTGCTCATTTTGAGCAACTAATATTTTGGGTAATTTCATCGGTTAAAACACTCGAAAAAATGACAAATATAAATTTCCGATGAAAATGTTACAAAATTAATTATTTTGATTTTTTCTCTTTCTCCTTATATAAGACTCAGTATAGAAGTCGGTGTTGGCAACTTCAAAATACGGTGGTCCTTCGGTTAACGAGCACAATCCGTTCTAGAAGGTTGCTCGTTAACCGAAAAACTCGTTAACCGAAACCATTGTTTCAATGGGTTTTGGGTAATTGGTTCCTGCTCACCGAAAATAGCCTAAATTCAACAACAAAGGTAGTTAAGTACACTTACTTTGAGGTGTGAATGTAGAAGGCTCCTTGATGATGATGATGATGATGATGATGATGGGAATTAGAATGGGGGTGGAGGAGAAGGGAGAAGAGAAGGCATTGGGGTGGAAGAGAAGTCACCCCATGGCGCCATTTCACCCATAAAATTTTAGTTCTCTCGGTGTAATTAAAGATTATTTTTTTAAATCAACACTGCACTGCATTATATGTTGTCAATATGTAAAATAAATTTCAAAATGACCAATAATTTGCTTGTAAACACAGAAAAAAAGCATTTAGTTGAAGAGAGTCTCAAGCAAGATGTTACCTCCACTGAAAAGACACAATGATTGACACCTGTATGCTGTGTTGGCAGGCTGGATGGCGTGCCACAAACTAGTGACCTTACCTTCAACTATGTTCAATAACTGTTAAAATGACTAAAAAATTTAATATTAAACTTTTAAAATTATTGAATAGTATAAACTTCTTGATATTTACTAAAAGGGTAAGGAATTTAAGCCCTAGAACCGATTACTGTATTGGTGGACTAATACTACAGCTGGTGGACCGCCAAATGCAAGCGAAATCATGTTCAGGTTGGCTCATATGAAACTCGTTAATCGAGGTATTGCTCGTTAACCGAAGTTAAGAATCTTATGGAGGGTAACTCGTTAACCGAGGCGCTCGTTAACCGAGGGACCCGAGTGACCACTGTATTAACAACTTGGAGTTCTAAAGATGGCTTGTGATTTAGTGTGGTTGCTTAAGCCACATGACAATGCCACCATTTGACATGTTTGGAGATAGCAGATGGATGCTACCTAACTAGCTACCATCCCAATGTACCTGGATCTCTCAAATTAAAAAATAAAAAAAAAGAGTGTACCCTAGATGTGGTTTTCTTCACTGAAACCAGAAAGGTCGATTAGCCACACCACCCTTTGAACATGGTCACAATCACACAAACCCCCAAAATGATGTAGTTATTTATTATTTTTTACTTCTCCTTCTAAGAAATGTCTTTGTTTTGCAGCTTCCTCCTCCTTCAAGTGATTCTTTTTCACTGGATAGTGTTAATCTGGATGCGCTCAACGGAAACTATGTAATCCGTACTGATGTGTATTCAATTCCACCACGGTATGTGAAACCTCAGTCAGCTAATGCAGTTCAAGTAAGTCAAGGCAATTTTTATTTTTACCTTCATTTCCATTATGGTACTTGTGTTTTTGATGATTATAAATTGTTATATAGTACTGTACTATAGGTATGGTGTTTTCAAAAGCATACTTTGAATCTTGGTTATTTGAAATAGAATGATATGGTCAAATACATTATGAACTTTTATTTCAGCTATCTGTGGATCGCACCAAATTAAACGTTCCCACTGACCTTCTAGTATTCTTCTCTCTACCTGACAGTCACAAAGGGCAGCAACTGTCTGCTTTTGGTGGTTATCTCCGTTACAAAATTCAATATTTTATCACACGTTCTGGGAAGACCATCAGTGGACCAGATGTGATTATGATGGTAAGTGTGTACTAAATATTGTAATTAACTACTGTCAGCCATCATCATTTGTGCTTTCTGGATTCATGAGTTTCATTTATTTGTAAATAAATGATGTTTACCAACTCCCAATTTACATAAGCATCCACAGAAATGCACTTTTTTGTTCATACATATGCCAGGTGTGTATATGAATACAGCATGCCCTTCAAATTCTCGTTGGCTAGGTTTTCAAAATGGTCACAAAACACAAAATCTGCGAATAACATTTGCTGACCGGGGGGGCGTACATTTTACTTATGTACAAAGAAATGTATATTCCCTTTATGTGTGTGCCCTTAGGCCTAATATTTATTTTACCTGTATTGTATATACAGTATAGTCTTGATTTACGTGGTCAGTTGAACCCATGGAGGTCCTCATAAAACGAGAAACGCGTAAACGAAATAACAGAACATATGGGATTAATTGAAATAGAGACTGGGCCGACTCCCAAACTCCACTTTTTCTGACACAATACGTACCTTGTAGTAAAAATTATATCATAATTTTATGATGGTATTGACACACACATAATATCTAAATAAAAAACTACACTACTGTACAAATATAAAAGTGTTTAACACTTATATTAGTAGAAGAGATGGGTCGGCACACGGGGATGGCGGCTGGTTCCGAGGCAGAGGGCAGATTAGTGGCCCTCTGGTGAATCACTATCACTATTCACAGAGGTTTGCAGGGCCTCCCTAACAAACCCCTCAAAGTCCATATCCTCACTGTCACTATCAGTGATTTGGGCTGGCTGTGGTTGTGGTGGGTTGCGGACGAAGAAGTCCGTAATACTATGTTGACGACTAGCATTGATGTTGTCGTCATACACCTGGACATACGGCTCCATAAATTTCGACAGAAGGTCATTAGACACTTCATACCGATGCTTGACCGTGTCTTTGTCAAGGATGAGCTTGATTTTCTCCGCCAACTCAATGACTTCCTTCACAAAACCATGGCTTGGTCCAGGTAGTTCAAGGTTTCTCGGGGGTAGTGGGGGTCCAGTGGAAGCCATTGTGAGGGGAATAGCGGGCACAAGAGAGAACAGTATACGCGGAGACTGAGAACAATGAGACTGGCCTGGCTAGGTCAGCGACTTCTTCCCTCTGGTGGCAGGGCACGTCATGTTACATTAGACCAATCACATCTAGCAGTGGAGGGAGGTAAGGATGCGTGGCCCAATTACACTCGATACGTCATATGACGTCAGCGATAATGTAAGAGCGACCTAATGCGCACTCTCCAGGCTTCTCTCAGAAATAAAACATTAAAGACATATTTAATGTTCTTACACTAAAGACACTGAGGATATACTCCAGCACCTAAGACACATTAGAAAATTACCAGTGACGAATAGAATACAGTAAACAATTCTTAAGACATACTTTTACTCACTTCAACACTAATTCCATCATTTCAAACACCTTTTAACAAATTATATATTTACTATTCACAATGCATTGTTATTCATCCATAATGTCTTTAGAGTAACTGAGTCAAAACAAGTGATATAGCCACAGTATCCACGTAATCAGCTGGTGAATATTTAAAAAACTAAACAATGAAAATTGGCCAGTCAGTGACTTTATTATTGTATTGTTACAATAATATATTAACTTTTCTAAGTTTGGGAATAAGTTAGATAAGTTGTGGTGCTGTTGAAATGTACTGTGTGATACAAAAGAGCAGATAGACCGCGTGCTATGGTTGTTGTATACAGCTCAGTTAATTATGATAATGGTATTCACAGAATTTCATGTATGTGGCCATTTTGAGCATGTTCGTCCCACGAATACTCAGAGAAGGGTGTAAACATTCCCTAATATAGGAGGTCAACCAGCATATGTAAAATTTTATGGACCATAGGTGGTGGAGTTGGGGTGAAGAGCAGTATCAGAAAAACTGGTTGATGAAGCATTCTGAAATGTCCTTGGAAGAAAGCTAAGGTTAAGTAAAACATGACTGCTAAGGGATTTGGAAGCTTGATTCTTTTTAATTGAAATAAGCAGATAATTTTTCAAATGTCTTTATTATTGGAAAGTACATAATAAGTATCTCTCCATACTTTGTCCATATTAAAGAAATACCACAGCAAGATTATTTTCTAAGACTAATGATCACTAATGTATAGTCTCGCTGTACAGTACTTACAGGGATCATTAATCCTTTAACTGCAGGAGGTGTCTTACTTGGATCTATTTGTATAAACAGGTACAGTATTATTTTTCTCCGAAGTCAACGGGTAGTCTTTGATTACCGCAGGGAGTTGTGACCCTGCCTTGCCAGCTGTTCCCACCTTGTGGGTTTGTATTAGGAAGGGCATCCACTCATATTACATAACTTACACATGCCTGTTGTCAAAGTTGCCATCAGGTAATAACAGCCATTAAACATTGATAATGATGATAGGTGATGGCCAGACTACAGAATGACAGAATAGAGAGGCTCATCTGTACTAAATGTACAGAGGCATTATCCCATACTTTTAAAATAACATCATAAAGTTATAATGGCAAAAATAATTGCCAGTGAACATCATGGAGAGTAATCTATTTTCATAATTATAGATGACTTGATAACTGCCATTTTTTTTTATCTATGTTGCTTTTCTGTAATTCTTATGTTTATGTATACTTTGCTGTTGCATCTTTGCAGGGAAATGGCTTAACTCTTATGCATATACATGATGGGAAATTCCTCCCCGAGATTATAAATCAAGTAGATGTGAAGTTCCAAAGTGGCCAGTGGTTCAAGACAGTGGTGTTTGATGGGCAAGCAGTACAGCCTCACGAGCCAGCCAGCAGGGAAGAAATCATGATGGTATTAGAAAATATGGAACTGCTTTTAATAAGGTAGGATGTCATTATATTAATTACTTTAATTCATATGAGAATGGTATTGGTTAATCCTAACTTTTGCAATAGATTAGGCCGGGCTTTGCAGAACATTATCCAAAGGTATTAATCCAAGATCTTTTTGTAGACGAATCTAATCTGAGGTAGCCATCATAATGACATTACATAAGATGATAAGTTACTCTTCGGCTTGTTATCGCTTAATGAGCTACTTAATGAAGACTATCAATTGAAGAAAACTTACTTTTGTAATAAGAGATTTCGTACATCAAGAATATCCCCAAAAAGGGCAAGGATTTATAATTTTTTAGTATAAGTTTGCTGATACATATGAACTCGTCCCAGCATCATCCTTTCAATACACACAATTACTTCAAGACTATGTTATGTTTGCTTAGGTAGATTAGATTAGCTAGGTTCAGTTAGGTTACAAAGGGTGTTGGTATTTCATTTCACTTGGAAAAGTTGCTCGGAAGCATTCCATTACTTTGTATTCGGTTGATTACTGGAAGCTTTTGTCAACAAGAAGCACAAACATGGTGCCATCTTGTGTGGACAGGCATGAAGAGTCTTTAATTATGGGAAAATGAGTAAAAGACGATATACCAAAAGTTTAATTTCTTCACCCACTTTGCTCTATTCTTGTGAAAAGAATTTAGTTTTCGTTTGATAGCTGGTTGACATTGACTCCTGTCAATAAGTGTTACTCAAGGCTTTTCTGTATCCACGGGAGAAATAATCTGAGGTCATTTACAGTACTAGAGCATCACTGTATTCCATTTTACTTAACAATGATTGTGCTCTTTAAACACTCCCAAACTTCATTAGCAGTCTTTATTAGTGAATCTTTTATACAAGACTTACAAACTTTACTACAGTGAACCCTCAAAGATCCGGACTAAAAGGGGGACCATCTATCTGAAAAAGCTGATTGTCCATATCTTGCGGTGAATGTACTAAATGTATAAAAACAATAAATAATAAATAAAAAACACCAAAAATACACCACCGTATTTTATGGCATATAAGACTCATGGCCATATACTGTACAGTAGGTAGTATTTAAAAAAAAAAAAAAAAAAAAAATTTCCTTCTGTAGCCATAGTTTTCTTAAAATTATATATACAGTGCCAGGATATGTGAGGAATAAATAAAAATATTAACAATAAATAAGTTACAACAAAAAATACTGTACAGGTATCGCCAAACCAGTAATTAAAACCAAATGAAAGTTTAACACAGGTGCCATTTGCATACACTCCCTGCTTCATCATAGCAACAGAGACCAGCTGGGATGCTGATTCCCTAGCAACGCTCCCCATCCCCTACATTCTGCGCCCTCCTTCCATTCCCTCACTGAGCCAGCTAACTCCTGTGCAAACAAATGTATATTCCCTCTATGTATTTGCCCTTAGGACAATTATTTCTTCTACTTTTTTCACACTATGTATGTAGGATGGTGTGTGCATGTAACTCAGTAAAATAAATGAAGAAAGTTACATGTATCGACTCAAAAATACAAGGTGAAAAACAACCATAACATCTCACAGCTTGGCTCAGTAGCCTGGTGGTTGCAGTGACAAGTCTAACCTGGGTACAATGCCATGATTAATCACTATTAAGCATTATTATATCAGTGAACACTAATAATAACAGTAAATCCAGTGAAATTTGGCTGGGAGCGAGGAGAGTTCCAACAGCAGACAACGTGCTAACTAGCAGTCACTCACTCCCCTTACTCGCTCCCGTTGACAGGCGTACGACTGAAATACGTATGCGAGAAATACATATCTTGTAGTCTAATTTGAAAATGGTGATGGGCACAATGATAAAGAAATTATGTAAACCATGCATTTACCTACAATAACATAATAAGAAACATTGTTTCATTACTCGAGTGAATGAAATAATATTCCACAAATAACAATTGGCAACTCTGTTTATGTTTCCCGCCTCCTCGGGCACCTGTGTCCCGCACACTGACATCTTAGTTACATGGGCGTAAGATGATTTTCTGCTTTGTTTTGGGAATGGTTCTTAGGGCGGCTTCTTAGCCCCCGAAACCCCTAGATTTTGTCCGAATCTTCCAAAATCCGGATTTACCGGGTCCAAATCTTCGAGGGTTCACTGTATAATTAATTTACAACCATTATTAGTTTACATACTTAACTGCTCTTTCATCTTTCCCAAGTTCCATTTACAGTTGTTATTAATATATATTCTTTCCAGGGCCCTATACAGTGATGGATCATATGTGAATGCTACTTTATCAGATGTGCAGTTGGACACTGCTGTAATACCCGGTAGTGAACAAGGTCGAGCTGTGTTGGTTGAGGAGTGTAATTGCCCCCAAGGCTACATGGGCTTGTCTTGCCAGGTGAATAATAATTTTTAGTTGGGGTGTATCGTAACTTTTTTTAAATTTAATATACAATTAACAGCATTTTAATTCAGTATTTCTGAATATATTTATAGTTAATGTTGATAGAATATGATGTAAATAAGAATGAAAATAGTTTTTAAGTAATTCAACTGCAATTATTATCTTAATATTTGAATCAACAGAGAAAATTTGTCTGCAGAAATATAGGTTGTGTAACATCTATTGTCTTATCAGGTGTGAGACAAACTTGCCAGATTTTATGTCTACAAATTTTTCCCTTATCAGTATATATTCAGTACTGTACGTTAATTTAAACTATATGGATTGCCTGAATCATCTTACCTTTACAGATATTTTTATTCAACTCTCTTAAATTGATTAAAACAGATTTTTCATGATTATTATTAAACAGGATTTAGAAGTAAACTGAACATTGTGAATGAGATTTTTATTTTTATATGCACTAGACTACAGTATATAATGGTATCTTCAGAGAGTAAATAATTAGTATTTCTGTAATAGTGTGTGACCTCATCACTGCATGAGTAGGTGCAACACATTTTTTTCCACTACTTTTCTGATGCTTCACATGAAAATTCATTTGTACATACAATAGCTTACACAGAGAATTTTGCAGTACAGTGAAATGTTGATTGTCTGGAGTTCTTAGCTCTTGTGACTCCTATAATCCAAAACAATTTGAAGAAGATTTGTGATGTATCTTCATAAATATACTGTATGCATGTCTTCACTCCAAGTTTCTTACTTGCACCTTCACTGTATTGCACTACTGTAGCCCACACTACAACCTCAACAAGTTTGCACCAGACTATTTAACAAAAATTAATACACTTGTCTTTAGGCAAATAGAGTATTCTCTTGTCAACCATGAGGGTTATGCTCCAGAGTTCTCCAGTTTTTGGTAAGGACTGGGTGTAATGGGAAATAAGGGGATTTGGGAAGTGACCCCTAACTACCCAAGTGTCATATCTGAAGTCCTATAATGTACAGCTCAAGGTTAAAATTAAGGTCAGGGTATAGGCTATACTTTTTTTCAGCTGTAAAGAAATACCATACAGTACCATCTATAGGTATTAAAAATTAGTATTAAAACAAGCATATAATGGATGAGTCCTCCCAACACAGCATGCATGGCCTCAATACTCACTCTCCCAAACAATTTTGTTGCCCATAACAATGCAAATATGTGTAGGAATTTTTTATGCCTACAAGGTTTTCATATGTAGATTTGTGTATGAACACATTTGTGAATGTAGCATGTCTCTGTGTTTATTTCTCATTTATTCTCATACTTTTACTTGTGCTTATATTTTAATGGTATAAAAAATTATAATCTTCACTTCATAGCACTGGGTATATATGATTGATAAAAACTTTTCAATGAACAATAAATTTATTAAGAAAAATAAAATGATCCAGAAACTAGATGAATTAATCCCCCCCCCCCCTCTTTTTTTAATTGCATTTTTGTCTTATTTAGAAAGCATTTTAAAAGTGTTTCAGTAAAGACTAAAAAACGTGAACAACTTGAGACCAAGCAGGATACAGATTTAAGTTACCTATTCTTCAGTGATAAGGAGCCCAGATTGTGGTTTGTATAGAAAAGTAGCTTTTAATGATATTTGCTTGTAAAAATGTAAGACAGTTGAATATACAGTACAGTTTATTATATACTCAAGGATACATAAACAGATTATAAGAAATAGTGATAATGAGTGTTTTGTTATCAGATATGAGGTTATTGGTATGTACAATCCCTGTCATATATCCTTGACCAGGCAGATCAGCTGGGTCTTGTTAAATGGCAATGTCACAGAGATGCATGCATGAACACACAGGGAGTGAACCAGAAACCCTGATTATGTGAATAATCCATTATGCGGGATCTCTATGTGCATATTCTCTATGATCCACTCAATTTATTGATGTTCAATGGTAAAATGATTAAGAGTACAGTATAATATTTTATTCTGTATTGCTTTTAATATGACATTATCAATGATATTGGCCACTGACAGTCAGTAGCTAAAACACAATACCCTGATCATTCATGTCTACCACACCATATTTTTAAGTTTTAATAATTTAATATCACAATTTTTTGGGGGTGTACATAATTATGTAATACAGGAATACCTCTCTATTGGCTACTCCGATATCCATAACCCACTTATCCGCAATTGCTATTTTAACCCCTATTCGATATTCACAAAGCATACCCCACTTATTTGCAAATGAAAAATTTCCACCAAATTCATCCTGTAGTGAGGTGCTTTATCTTCACTTAAGTCATCATCTCTAGAAGTTTGAATTTGAAAAAAAAATTCTTCAAATTCAATCTGTGTAGCCCTGGGGAGTGTCTGAAGGTCAGGCTTCTGGTGTTTTGAAGTATTTATGGTATAGCTGGGGTGCTTTCAATTGGTGCAGTTGACTCAAAACAACCTTTTCTCTTTCATAGCTGATTTAGAAATATACATTTCACTTCTTTAATGACCTCAATGCTATTAATCAATGGCTGATGTAATTAATCTCATTCTGTAGGCAAAGGAAAGAGATGAGGACCCTGGAATCCATCCATCTTCCTATGATAGGGTCATCAATATGTAAATGTGAGAGGTTAAATATGGAGCCTGTATTTATAGCCCCTAAGTGGTTGATACAAGAGTGAATTGGCTTCTGAGATATTTATATACTTGTTTATTTATTTATCAATTTACTGATATAAATATTTTTATAACAGGATTGTGCACCAAATTATCGCAGAGTGCAAGTTGGACCTTGGCTAGGTGAATGTGTGCAAGATATAGAATGTGGTCCTCAAGAGTATGGTGACCCTGTAAAGGGTATCCCTTGTCAACCATGTCCTTGTCCACTTTCTACACCCACTAACCAGTAAGTACATCATGATGCTTCAATCAAAAGTGCAGCAGTACTATATGCATAGGAACAATAATCATTGATATTAGTGTTTCTAAATTCATTCTGTGTTTAAATAGTTTTATGGGCTTGTCTCTAGAGTACTGCAGTGGATATGTATAATTAAATCACCTTGAGTTATCAGTATTATGATGTTTAAATTTTTTGGTAAGTGGGTACCTCAGGGAGTTGCAACCCTGTTTTGCCAGCTGTTCCCACCCTATGGGTTAGCATTAGGCAGGTCATCCTGGCATAAAACTTTGCTCCAAAATGCTTGATGGTAACTGGGACAACAAAGTTGTAATTTCCTCTGGTCTCTGTTCCATATCCTGGGGTGAGTATTTCACAGTCTGGCACTTCTGCTTGATATAACAGGAGCCCAAACTCAAGGGTAGTGCCCTGAGATGCTTCTCCATCATCAAGAGCATAATAGCACAGTCAATTTTAATAGCACTTGTTGTGCATGGAAAGGTTTCTATGAAGCTGATCGTGGTGGTTCACCCTGAGGCTGTTGGACTGCTTTTGCTATGGCTAGTGTCAGGGTTGCAAACATGCCAGTACCTAGGTTGGTGGTGGTGTGTAGTGAGGGACATCCTGATTTGGTCATTACCCAACTCTATGACTCTATCAAACATGTCTAATAAAACAGAGCCATTGTAATGTTTGATAAAAATATTCACTCACTCTATATGAATAAATGTAATAGGAAACACCTGCAATCAAATAGAAGGAGCCCTTCATAATTGGGTGCAAAGATGGAAGACTGAATGTTGGTATGATGTGTGGAAGAGCAGATGAGATTGTGGAGACATAGAGATATATCAGTGTCTTTTGAGTACAGGAAACAGGATGGAAAGGTGACACAAAAAAGCTAGAAGGGGAATGAATCTGGGACAGGAGCTACAGTATGAGTAAACAAGCATATAAGAGGAGACTGAGACTTGATTGGTCTGGGCTTATAAGGAATGCAGATTTGTGTCATGGTAATGCTGTCAGTACCTGTTCCTGTTTCCAAACACAGGTGTTCTTACATGACTGCATTTATTTCAGTAATCATAAAGAACAAGTGTATGGGCATGGGGCATCAACATGGTAAGGGCAAAAATAAAAAAAATTATTCATGGTGAATGCGTGAATGCCACCACCCCAGAACCCTGCATCATGAACACATGTTTTGCTGATGCATTCCTACCCTTTACTTGTGCAACATGTGAAGAAGCACTTCTACCCTGCTTTCCTTATCACTTTCGTCCTGATCTCTAAGTACTTCTCCTACACTGATAACTAGTTCGTCAGTGTCACTATTGCTGAAGTTCACACAGGAGCTGTCATTTCTGAGTTCACTCAACAAATCTACCAGTTCTTCAATCTCACCCTCACTCTCTGATTCCCTTAACACTTCACTTAATTTTCTGGGTGTCAAGGCAACATTACTGCAGTGAGGGATCTTTTCATGTGATGCATCACTGGAATAACCAGATACTGTCTCCATAACTACAAAAAAGCTACACCAGCCACACACCCTCACACCAGCCACACACCCTCACACCAGCCACACACCCTCACACCAGCCACACACCTTCACACCAGCTTCACACCCTCACACCACCCTCACATGGTCACACATCTTCACTTTCTCACTTCCTAACAAAATCTCACATTCATAAATTACCTCATACTCTCACAAAATTTCACACCCACACAAGACCTCTACATCCTGAAAGAAATTTGCATCACCATGCCACCTCACACCATTTTGCCTCATACTGGGGGCAACAGTTTCCTCACCCCTGTCCAACATGGTCACCTAACCCACTTGTCAATCATTGCAACTAACGTATTGTTTTCCCTTATAGCCACTGAGCTCATGTGTACATACTGATGAGTGATCAGTGTGGTGGATAAATAGATTCTGCAAAAAAATTAGTCATTGTCCTATTTTCTCTCTTAACTAGTCCAAATGTTAGAAAAGTAGGAATAACATAAGATCATCAGATGCATACAAATTACCGTACAGTATGTCCAAGCAATGTCAGACAGGGTTTGACTTTTCTTGGCTTCTTCATGTTTTACTCTACAGATATAAATGTATTTTGAAAAGAAATTATCCATTATATACACTTCTCTCCAAAGGTTCAGCACTTCTTGCTACTTGGATACTGATAGTCGAGTAACCTGCAATTGCCGACAGGGCTATCAAGGTCGCCGTTGTGAAGTGTGTGCCAGTGGTTATGAGGGCCAGCCTAACGTGCCTGGGGACAGTTGCCGGCCAGGTAAGGTTTCTTGTGAGCTGTACAAGTAAGACATAACTGTATGTACCATTCTATTTATCTCACATTGTGATGGATTAGGGAAGTTACACATTATTGTGCTCTCTGAAGATCAATGTTCCTGTCAAAATGATCTATATGTGTAAGTGATAAGAGGTGGATATATGCCCTACTTGTAAAAAGCTGAATATTTCATTAATCGCATTTGAAAGGTCTACTTGTAAATCAGTTTGTGTTTCATGCACATCCTCAAATGCACCATTATTACCAATAATATCAGCTATGGGTGCAGGTTCTGTGTCAGAATTTATTGAGTTATCAGACTCGCTGGAGGTAATAGGTAAGTCTTCCACCAACTGTTGAATTCTTTGTCATTTAAATTATGTAAACCATCAGGATATGATGAAGTAAACTGAAAAAAATTAAATGCAATACACAATAACCTTGTCAATCCATTTAAAATAAACAAATGCAATTATATATGAACCAGTAAAGGTGAAAAAATTACATAATAATTAATACAAGGCATTTAAGCGAAAAACTAACCTATCACGGTACCTAACATGAGATGGTATATCATTGGATATGTTAAATGTGTGTAACAAGCTAATGAGGGTCTGTAAAATATCTAACTCAGTCATCTTGAAAGAAGATTCTCCAATTTCTGTATTACTGTATTTAGGATGATAAATTTAGAAGCAGCATGAAAATTCACTGTTATTTTATTCATAATGTAATGGAAAATTCATAAATTTTTATATATACAACATTCTTGCTGAAATGTTTTGGGTGTCTGTGAACCACTACCTACTGGAGGTTGGTTGCCCCTTCATGAGAGTATTTATTTATTTTCATTTTTTTGTTTTCATGAAATTTAGCGCCTCCATCATGTGAATGGTATGAGTTCATTTGTGGTGATATGTCACGCTGCATCCACAAGGATAAACGATGTGATCGCATCCATGACTGCCCTGATGGTTCTGACGAGGACTACTGTGGTTAGTGCCTTTTATAAGGCAACCATAATTTGGTTGATTCACCTACATGTGCAGAAGCAGTTTGAAAATTTTCACCTATGTCCATTAGCATTGTCTGTTGTGATAGTTTTTCGTGCTTCTGTCTATGCTTAATAATTTATTTATAATTTTGCCTTATTGATAGAGCATGTCAGTACTGTAGCTTGCTGATTTGTGGGAGCATTACTTTTAATGTTTTGTGCATATTTGTAAGACTGTAATTTGCTTTTGCAGTAGAATTGTTGCCTTTGCATGTAATTTTTTATTTTTATTTTACCTTTTAAAATTGTACTTGCATAACCTTGGTAAAGCTAATGATTTATTTTTCAATCAATACATAAGATAATGCATCACTTGTAAATAAATTTCAGTTTGTTATTAGTCTAGAAAAAATATATTATTAAAAAATTGAGCAAAGGGTGTCCAAAAGAAGCCAGCTTGACAGCCTCAGTTATTATGCACTGAGAGCATTGTGGTTCTAACTCTCCAACCATATCTGGATCCATCAGGCCAAAAGTTGTGTCTAAAGGATATTGATAAATCACAGTTCTAAGATGATTGCTTTTAGAAGATTGTTTATCTGCCATTTTGGATCTTATCATAGGAAATGAAACATCCACCCAGTCCCCACAAGGTTCCATGCTCTCTCAGATTCACTATTGACTCCATATAAATCAGAGTTCCAAGAATTCTGCTTGCTTATTGGAGTGAGATATGTTAACACTCCCTTTTATATGCTTACATTCAACTCCATGTAAAAATGAGGGTTTACTGTATTTAGTGAAGAAAACACTTACGCCAAAAAATTACTTACATAAATTAATCATTAAGAGTTAATACTTAGTTATTTTGTTTTTAATATTCAGTAAAGACTCATCAGAATTATGTATTGATATGTACTGTATTTGTCATTAAGAATGTAGAATACATTAATATGATCTGAAAGTGATGCTTCATAGATGTAATACATATAAGTTGTGTAAATAGCCAGTATTATATTGTATTTTGTACCTGAAGATACTAAATGCAGATCCAGTGGGAAATTTTAAATTCATGGTTGAATATCATTCATCATTGCTTAGCAGAGTTTCCTATTCATTTATTTCTCCATTCATATTTGTCTCTTGATATATCATACAAGTTGGGTTTACCTTTATCAGTGCACAGTGTCTCTAATACAAAATATATATGAATAACACCTATATTATGTCATTGACTATTATACTTATAAATTAATCTTTCTTTTATGAATAAGTGGTTTGCATATCTTCTTAGTTTTGCATGTTATTAGCATTTAATTTTCATTATCATAGTTCTATAAGGTTATGGGCATTTTTTGCTTTTAGTAGAAATTTAGATGCATAAGCATTGAATGGTTATAAAAAAAAGCTTTTTATTGAATATTAATTAGGTACTAATCCTGCTCATTGACTGTTGTTCTCATGAAAAGAGCCTGTTACCTGCATGACCACCTTCACATGCTCAGATGGTTCAGTTCACCCTTGGTCTCGTCGCTGTGATGGCATTAAAGATTGCAAAGATTATGAAGATGAAAGAAACTGTGATGGTAAGAATATACAGTACAGTGAAATAGTTTGTCTCTCTTCCTTGTTCTTTTTTTTTTCCATTGGTGCACATTCCTAACACGATGACTCCCATTTTTAATGGTATGGTATGTAGATTATCCTTAGTATTGGTTTATTGATTTGAAAGAACTGGAGGTTAGATGATGATATTCTAATCCTGTGTATCTAAATAATTAGTGCTTAGCTATCGTGCAACATATTATTATTTATCCCTACTTTACTCCCTCATAATTCCCAGTTATACTGTAAGGGAGAATGGAATTAATTCGTCAAGTTTCAATATGAATAAAAAAAAGTGTCTACTTTTTTTTCATATTGAATAAAGCAGAGAGAATTGGACATCTTCAGCATTTCTTGTAATAACACATATCATATGATATGTATAACAACACTTTTTCTTAGCTAATTTAATAATATTTTCATATCCTGTACTAATATTCTAACAACCCATTCTTGGACTCTGCATTTAATAACAGTAAGAGTGCTGGATATTTTTATAGTTAATGACACCAATAACTTTCCAATATTCTCTGTTTCTTACTTTTCACTGATGTTCTCTGCATGTGTGAAAGCTTGTTCATTTTAGTGATATAACTGCATGTGTAGGAAACTTAAATTATTATCCCTCGGCTTCGGGTCACGTCCCGTGACATGTGTCTGTAGAGCTATGGGTCACGTCACATGACATTTTGATCTTTCACGAACCTATTTAAATAAAAATGGCGGGCCTGGCCAGATTATGTTGCTAAGTAGGTATTTATCTTCCACTCACTCACAGATGAGAGCCTCCCAATCTCTTCTTAGTAGCTTCTCAGCTTTTGTGATGTAGGAATCTCATCCTTGGACTTGACTTACTTCATGTGCTTCTACCCCCAACTCTCAAGCACGAGTCTAGTATTGTGATCAGTTACTGGAGCCGACCATGGCCCGAAGCCCAAGGGTTAATGAGCCTTTTAATCTGAATCTCAGTTGCATTTATTTTCCTTTTAACCTCTGCATAAAATACTTGACTAAAGGATTTCACACTGACTTGCCAACAGTGTGCTTCAATAGTGGTCACAAATGTAGTGATCAGCAATGTGTTCACTTTGAGCGAATCTGTGATGGCCATCCTGACTGCAATGACCAAAGTGATGAACTACCACAAAATTGCTTGGGTGTGTAGAATTTACTTTTGTTTCTTGTGATTCTAAGGATGCTATAAATTTAACAAACAATTACTTGATCTCTTACACACACACACACACACACACACACACACACACACACACACACACACACACACACACATATATTGTGCTATTTGTTTACTGATGTCATGCTCACGTACTCAAAGCAGTGTCAAATATGGAGAATATAGCTTAATCATTTTGCCAACTAATATCTCCACATGTTAAAAAATTGAACATATAATGCAGTAGTATGTCGAATTATCAGACATTTACACAATTAGAATGTCATAAGACTGGACTGGAAATTTCCAGTAATTAAATTTCAACAAAAGTAATGCCAGAATAACAGTAACCCTTTACCCCTTGTGTACTGGCTCCTCTCTGAGCTGAATAAAATCGTCTGACATTAGCCAAGTAATATATTAGAAATGTCACCCCGCTTAAAGTGAATGGTAAATACAGTAAAGATAAGGGTTAGAGAGTGTCACTTTCAGTTTTACGGAAACTAGAAATTATTATTAGCTATTTTATGAGTGATTTTCCCAATATCCTGTATGTACTGTATTATGGTTGGGAATGTTAACATTGGGTTCGTGGCTTCATTGAGCATTTTTTGCCATTTCCGAAAGTTGAGAACCCGCTCTCCCTCTCAGTATTTTTGCAAGGGGTTTCTAACTGTCTACTTACTGCCTTACTACTTGATATCCAAGAGTGACATATGAATCATGTAAAATAGCCATTATAATAATGGAACTCCCCATAACACGACACCAGTCAGCCGTGAGATGATTACGAACATTGCAATTGTTACATGAAATGAAACTGTAAAAGTTGTGGATAAATCATTTCAGTATTCTAATGTGATAGAGATAGTTTTTGTGTATTAAATATATGCTACTGTATTTAATGATGTGTCATGTATCATATTGTTTATTATAACAGTTTTTGTTGTGGAATACAGAATAACAAAGGACTGAAACCTATTTCCATTTATATCTATCTCTGATAGTGAAGTTTCCGAGCATTAAGTGGATTTCGTGAACATTAACACTTCATTACCAGAGGTATAATTTATTTATTTTAGCGGAATCCTCCCTTTTGTGGAATTGACCTGCACGTCTTTTTCCTTTATATGGAATAACTACTGTATGCCTTGTCTGTGTGAAAATTTGAGGTTTTTCTTTATAATAGTAGATACTGGAAAAAATAAGCTAAGTAAATTATACAGT